GCAAGCCAATGATAGAAGTTTTTCAAACCGGGCCGAGTATGCTCAACAAGAAACACATAAGAGTTCTTACTTTATGTTTATCTGATTTAAGTACATGGTCAATAACTAGTTTCTCAACTAGCTCAAGTGGGAACTGATAATGGGTTCAACAATACCGACTTCCTGCCGTCGTGGCAGTAAGGAAAGAATATCCAAAAGGACTAGCCGATAGGTAACTTTTGATACTTGAAGTCACATTCGCGACAAAAACGCAATGATGTAGCTACCGAGCCATATCCACAAATCCTACATGTTAGTAGCAGAAGCAGAGAGGCACACACGAGGAGGAAGAACTATATATATATAACTGTATATGATTGTGTACATATACATAAAGCTACTACCATGTGGGCATAACTACTACCACATCATCTCTACCTCTAACACTCCCACTCATGATCAGGTGGCTGATTCAAGTCTAAATTTAAGCCTGAATCGTGCCTAGCTAGTCTAAGATGATGAGCATGGAGAGCTGATAAGAAAAACATACAAAAAACTCATCAATCAACTACCCAAAACTTTGTTCTTGGTCTTGGTCTTGCTTGCACACACTCTTGCTTTATGCTACGGTCTCAATCTTGCCTCTAGCATGTGGTCTTGGCCATGAACTGCCAGGCTCCCACTTCTCTGCAACTAGGCACTTGAATCTCCATAAGCATCCTTCCCAATTGCTGGAAATTCCTGCAAAGAATTGCTATGCAATGTTCTTGAATCTTGACCCAATTCTTGATGTGGGTTGTTGAAATCTCTCAATCTCCCACTAGCTTTGTTCTCTGCTTGCTGCTGCTTGTTGCTCAACACCTCTACACAGCCTGGTGCCTTGGTGCAACGCCTCAAGCGTCCCAAACATTGCAAGAGGGATTGCAATCGAGAGGCTCATCCTCCTCCTCATCATTGGCCTCCTGGCCAGCAAGTACCATTCTCAGGATCAAGGAGCCCAAGGCTCCGATACCATTAGCAGCGGAGAGACGCACACACGAGGAGGAGGAACTGTATATATATAACTGTATATGATTGTGTACATATACATAAAGCTACTGCCACGTGGGCATAAGTACTGCCACATCATCTCTACGTCTAACACTACATGGTATCTAAGAGGTCAGATCCTCATGGCTCACCACTGGCGCCCAAAAAAGAACCGTAATGACGAGGATGAGTGAGAACAGTTGGAGAACGTTCCAGGAAAGACCCTAGACAAGCTCTATTCTAATCTCTGGAGCAAAAAACAGGCACGACCTCCTCAGATTCTGCTCGTGATCAGGCTTTGTTCATCGGCAAGAAGTCAGGAAATGGAAATGGCAAGAAGCGTGGGAATTCTCGCGGATTTGCCAGTGCTCCTGCAACACCAACACCTGGCTCCACCACAAATGGAAACAGGAAAAAGAAGGGGCCATGTACCTACTACGGGAAGATGGGGCACATAGAGCGAGAATGTCGAGCTAAGAAAGCAAACACCCAACGGATGCTGACTCAAACAGACTCGTTGCTGACGATGGCCGTGGCCTTGTCACCGGTGTCTGGTTTAGATGTCCTCTGGTTGGACAGTGGTGCTTCTTACCACATGACTCCTCTTCGTACAGCATTCCACACTTTCCACGAATTGCTTTCCCCAAAACAGGTCTTTGTTGGAGACAAGTGACTTCTCGACGTTGAAGGCCGTGGCATGGTGCAAGTCAAGTTGCCCGATGGATCTCTCAAGGAAATCCATAACATGCACTATGTGCCCAGTGCAGGCCAGACTGTCCTAGCACTAGCATGTATGTCTCTAGATAAACAAGCTCTGCGTTGAGGCGATAGAGTGTATTGTACCTCACTCCAGTTGCCACGGTGGTGCCATCTGCTCCAAAAATAGTACATCCTTCTGCAAAGAATGTAAGCGAGAACCCTTGATCGGAGGCGACGCCAACCGAAAGGACAGTCTGGCCTGCACCTGGCACATAGTTCATGTTATGGATTTCCTTGAGAGATCCATCGGGCAACTTTACTTGCACAATGCCACGGCCTTCAACGTCGAGAGGTCGCTTGTCTCCAACAAAGACCTGTTTTGGGGAAAGCAATTCGTGGAAAGTGTGGAATGCTGTACGAAGAGGAGTCATGTGGTAAGAAGCACCACTGTCCAACCAGAGGACATCTAAACCAGACATCGGTGACAAGGCCACGGCCATCGTCAGCAACGAGTCTGTTTGAGTCAGCATCCGTTGGGTGTTTGCTTTCTTAGCTCGACATTCTCGCTCTATGTGCCCCATCTCCCGCAGTAGGTACACGGCCCCTTCTTTTTCCTGTTTCCATTTGTGGTGGAGCCAGGTGTTGGTGTCGCAGGAGCACTGGCAAATCCGCGAGAATTCCCACGCTTCTTGGCATTTCCATTTCCTGACTTCTTGCCGATGAACAAAGCCTGATCACGAGCAGAATCTGAGGAGGTCGTGCCTGCTTTTCGCTCCAGAAGCTTGCGCTCTTCTTCCAAGAGATTGGAATAGAGCTCGTCTAGGGTCTTTCCTGGAACGAAGGAGAGCATGGAGGAAGATGGTTGGAGTTCAGAAGAAACCGAATAGAGAAGGAAAGCTTTGGCATAATCGTCTGAGACAGCCTCCTTAAGCTCTTGCATCATCCCCTTAAGCTTGCCAATGTACGATGCCATCGTGTCTGTTGGCTGCATCCGGAGAGAAAGGAACTTCTGGGTAAGGACGATCTTGGCATTTGCTGCTTTCGCAGCTTTCCACGCTGGCTGGAGAGCGGGCTCAGCTGGTTCAGCTTCGGTGCCGTCCACGATTGTCCAGCAATCCTTTGCCATCAAGATGAGCTGGACCTTTGTTCTCCAGGTTGCGAAGTTTTCTCCTGTGAATTTGCAACATCCCAGTTGGCTGGGGTTACGGCAGCCGAGGAAGATGCCCTAAAGTTAGCGCTAGAAACAGAAATTTTGCGTCCACAAGCACTACACTGTGGGCAAAGCTGCTCGTGGCGTTTCCGGTCGCGGATCTTTTTCTCCACTCTAGCAAGGACAGCAAGAGCCCTTGCACGTTCTCGCTCATCCTCGTCATTACGGTTCTGTTTTGGGCGCCAGTGGTGCACCATGAGGATCTTACCTCTCTGATACCATGAAATGGCTTTTTAAAAGGAAGATGGGAGTGTGGAGCGATTCAAAGCCAGATTTGTCGCTCGTGGCTTCTCGCAAATTCAGGGAGTTGACTATTCTGAGACTTACAGTCCAGTAGTTAAACTAACCACCATCCGCTTGCTTCTGGTTTTAGCAGCCGAGCTTGATCTTGAGCTCCATCAACTCAATGTGCACACAGCATTCCTCAATGGTGATCTTGAGGAGGAGATGTGGCACAGTCTCAAGGTTTTGTCCTTCCAGGCCAAGAACACCTCGTGTGCTGGCTGCATAAAGCTCTCTATGGGCTGAAACAAAGCCCCAGGTCTTGGTATAACAAGATTGATGGTTTTCTAATTTCTCTTGGCTTCATATGCAGCTCAGCCAATGGTAATCTCTACATCTACTTTGAAGGCGAAGGATTTCTCTTCCTAACGCTTTATGTGGACGATACCATCCTCACTTCTAACCAAGTCTGGCTTATTCACAAGATTAAGACACATCTCTCTGCAAAATTCGAGATGGCAGACCTTGGTGAGCTGCATTACTGCCTTGGAATCTAAGTACGACGCAACAGGAGACATGGGACTCTCGAGCTCTCTCAAGAAAAATACATCCTGGATGTACTTCAGACTCTATGCTCGATGCTAATCCTGTGGCCACTCCAATGCCCTCAGGCCTTAAGCTTTCTAAAGCTTCTATATCCGAGACATAAGAAAAGCGCCAGAACTCTCTACCGTTCGATGGTCAGCAGCTTGATATATCTCGTGATTTCAACAAGGCCGGATTTAGCCTGGTAGGCTGCGTGGCAAAGTACTTGGAAAATCCATCACAAGAACACTTTGCTGCTGTTAAGAGAATCCTGAGGTACATTGCTGGAACTAAGCACTACTCTCTTCAATTTTCCAGAGGAGAGAGCTCCACCACGAGCTTGGTTGGCTTCTCTAATGCCGACTGGGCGGGAGACGTAGATGACAGGAGATCAATGACAGGCTACGGCTTCCTCCTGAATGGGAACGTGGTGAGCTGATGCTTGAAGAAGCAGGCTATCACAGCCATGTCCTCAACAGAATCAGAATACGTAGCAGCAGCAGCAAAAGAAGCAGTGTGGCTGAGCAAGCTGCTTGAAGACTTGCGAATCTGAGTCCCTCCCATCAAGCTTTGGTGTGACAATCAGTTTACCATTGCTCTCACAAGGAACTCTTGGTTCCATTCAAAAACAAAGCACATCAAACTAAGGTTCCAGGAACTCATCAACAAAGGCAAAATTCTTGGAATTTTTCCTACCAACACAATGCTGGTGGACATTCTGACCAAGGCTCTACCTCATGTATAGCATCAAGTCTTCCTAAAGACACTCGACCTACGTGACGGAAATCTTGAGGAGGAGTGTCGGGAAGCACAAGGTCCATGTCATTAGCCACATCACATATCCTCACCAACCGTCAAGAGCCGCCACATCCACCACCAAAACGCAATGAAGTAGCTATTGAGCCGTATCCACAAATCCTACACCCCGGCCTTGTGGAAACCCCCACGAGTGCTTCTTTCTCCTCCTTGATCGTCCGCGAGAAGAGGTAATCCACTATATCTTCCATGCAGCCCGATTATGTCATCCAGATCTAGCCTCGCTTGCATGTCATCCCTGCCTTTTTCTAGAGAATCCATCTATAGTTTCAGGCGATCAAGAGCTCCCCAAGCTAGATGTGTTCTCATCCATGGTGCTGCAGACCTGGGATTGCCTTTGTCGCCCACATCGCCGCGCTGGATCAGGAAATCGATGGAGCGCTGGATCGAGAGATCGATGAATCGATCGAAAAAGCAAAACCCTAGAATTTGATTACATCGTCCCTCGCTTTAGGGCTTTATGCAAATGCTACAACAGCCCAGTGTCTCCTCGCTTCTCCTGGCGCTCAAGGAATGCGGCAGCGCGCGGGATCTCCAGCGGGGAAGGGTCGTCCATGGCGATGCGATCCAATCCGGCCTCGCGGCGGACATCTTTGTCGCCACGACGCTGGTAAGCATGTACTCCAAATGTGGCAGCATGGCCGACGCGCGCAAGGTCTTCGACGCCATGCCCAGCCGGAATCTCGTCTCCTGGACCGCTCTCATGCTGGGATACGCGCAGAACGGGGAACCCGAGCTCGCGCTGGGACTGTTCCAGCAGCTCCAGCACTGTGCCACTTCGCTGGATCGATCGACTCTCCTAGCGGCGCTTACGGCCTGCCGGAATCTGGCTGCCAAGGGACAGGAGTGCGAGAGCTTGAGAAGGAGCTGCTTAGAGAAGGGGGCGGAAATCCATTGCCTTGCTGCGAAGAATGGATTAGAAGAAGATATCTTCGTGGCGAGTAGCTTGGTGGATATGTACGTCAAGTGCGGGAGCTTGGTGGATGCTCTTCGGGTTTTCCGCGGGATTCCACGCAACAATGTGGTCTCGTGGACTGCCATGGTTTTCGGCTACGTGCAAAACGGGGAGTTCGCGACTGGATTGGCGCTCTTTGCTCGGATGCAGCTGGAAGGCTGTGATCCAGGAGATCAAACTTTCGTCGCTGCGATCAAGGCGTGCAGTGGCTTAGCAGCGAAAGAAGAAGGCCGGAAGAGAGATGGTTGCAAGGTGGTTGTGAAGGTAAAATCGTTGGAGAAAGGAAGAGTGATCCACTCTCAGGCAGCCAGACGCGGGTGCGACCCATTCGTTACGAGTAGCTTGGTGGAGATGTATCTCAAGTGCGGGAGTGTGGTGGATGCTCGTCGAGTCTTTGACGAGATTCCACGTAAGAATGTGGTGTCTTGGACGACGCTCATCCTAGGATACGTCCAGGTCGGGAAACCAATGGTAGCTTTGGAACTCTTTGCGCTGATGCAGCAGGAAGGTTGCTCTCCGGATGCTAAGACCTTTGTTGTTGCGTTGCAGGCCTGCGCGAGCTTGGCAGCTATGGAAGATGAGGACGAAGGCAAGACGAAGAAGAGCTCGAAGTCATTGCTGCTGAGAAAAGGTACGAGCATTCATTTTCAAGCTGTTCAAGCGGGTTTTAGTTCTGATGTTTTCTTGAGCAGCAGCTTGATCAACATGTACGCGAAGTGTGGAAGTATCTTGCGTGCCCAGGAGGTGTTTGACATGATGAAGTTTCATGACGTTGTTTCCTGGACAACGTTGATCCTTGGGTACGCTCAGAACGGAGAAGGTGAGCATGCGTTACTTCTCTTTCAAATAGCTCTTGACAAGAACTTGGTAAACTCTCAGAGCTTCGTTGCAGCTCTGAAGGCATGCACGAGTCTGGCTTCGCTGGAAGAGCTGGAGGACGCTGACGGGAAGCTGCTTAAACTCGAGAGAGGAATGGCCGTCCACTCCGAGGCCGCTCGAAGAGGCTACGAGCCGGACATCTTTGTGGCGAGCACGCTAGTCGACTTTTACGCAAAGTGTGGAAGCCTGGAGGATGCTAGCCGTGTCTTCAACCGGATGGAGAAACACAAGTCGGTAACTTGGAAGGCAATGCTACAGGCTTGCGTCCACAACGGAGGAGCAGAGACGGCACTACACTTGTTCGCGTGCATGGACTTGGAAGGCTTTGTGCCGGACAGCGGGGCATTCAGTGTGGCTCTGAAGGCCTGCTCGAGCACCGGAGCACTGGAAGTGGGACGAAGTCTACACAGGGAGCTTCGGATTTCTGGCCTGATGGACGACACAATGGTGGCGAACTGTCTGTTGGACTTCTACGGCAAGTGTGGCAGCATGGTGGAAGCTCAGGAGGTATTCAACTCGATTTCTTCCAGAGATGTGATAACTTGGACTTCGCTGATCGCAGGATACAGTCAAAGAGGCGAGATCGACAGAGTTTTCTGCCTGCTCCGCGACATGAGAGACGATGGCTTGCATCCAAACAAAGTGACGCTCCTGGCAGTCTTAAGCGCGTGCAGTCATGCCGGCCTGGTTGACAGAGGTAAGGAGTTTTTCTTTTCCATGGGCTCCAAGTATGGGCTAGCTCCAGAGCTTGAGCATTACCACTGTGTGATAGATATGCTGGGAAGAGCCAACCAGCTCGAGGAGGCAGTGGCGATGGTGAAGTCGATGCCTCACAAAGCCAACGTGGTTACATGGACGACTGTACTGACCGCCTGCCGGAAGTGGAAGAACGTAGAGGTGGGAAGAATTGCTTTTGAGTCGCTACTGAGATTGGATTCCAGGAACACAGCGGCTCATGACTTGATGGCTAACATTTTAGAGAATACCCAAGACAATGCTGCTGGGTTCTAGATCTGGAAGAACCCAGCGTTTTTCTGTTTAGATCTACAACTTGGGTATATGGAAACTTTCTCTTGCTTCTCTCCTTGATCGCTTAGCTTGAATAGCATTCCAGGAAGAGAACGAAAGCACCTCTTCTAGCTACTTCTATACAAAATGGAAGAGCTCCTTGTAGTCGGAGGAAAAGATTTCTTGGCTCTCTGCGAGAGAGAATCAAACACTCACTGTCGAGGACACTCTGTGAGATGATTCTATGGGGAAAAATCTCACGAGGAATGGCCCCAAAGCATCAGTCTTCGCTCCCAGCGTATCAGCGAATGCCACGAGAGGCGCTGCATTGTGATCATTGGGGAGCAAGCATCCTTTTAGGGTTAGCCCTAAATTTTGCCCTTCTAAGTCAGAGGGGGATTTAGGGCTCTTGGGCTATGGCGCACGCTGCCGTGGAGGGTTTGGAGGTCGCGGCAGCTGTGGCCGAGCTCGCCGATGCCGCCATGGGAGCATACGAGCGTCGCAAGCACCACGCCGTGGCGGTGCAGCGGGATGCCGAGGAAGCGCTGGTGAAGGAAAGGGCCGAGAATGACAAGCTTCGCTCGGCGCTCGACATGTACAGGGATGTGATCCAGGAATTCTCGTCCAGGGGATTGCTGGAGCATATGCATCAGTTGAATGGGATGGATCCGGATCAGGTTAGTCGATCTCTCCTGTTCCCTTTTGGAGAATTGAGACGAATTGGGTCATTGTGGTTGTCAGCTGTGTGATAAACTCAAAGAGCGAGTCGATTCTCCCGAGTTTTTGGAGAAACTGGGAACGATTGTCTTGTCCAAAGACAAGGAGGATGGCGAGAAGGAGAACACTTGGGTTGTCTTGGATGGGATGGAGGGGGCCGAGGATTACGTTGTGATCACTCAAGAGGATATTGTCGATAGCATTGCCTCGTACATGGCAAAGTACCTCGCAACTCAACCCAAAGCTCAGGTAACGCTCTTGCAAGTTTGTTTCTCGCGATGGCTTCTAACTTCTGGAGGTTTTGCTAGAACATGTCTCCGGATGAACTGCAAAATGGTAAAGCTCGATCGAAATCTCTCGTTTCTGTGTCTTCTAATTCTCCTTTGCCGTGTGTCTCAGCTCTTAGCAAAGCGTTTTCCGCCAAGGACAAGCCGGGATTCTTTCGGAGGCTTTGGGGAGCCGGCAAAGTAATGTACACGATCGCGTCTTGGACTGCCACTGGCGTGGGGTAAGCCATGATTTTAATTTTTTTTGCTACTTCTTCCTGGACTGGAGCTAAAACTTTCCTTGCTACAGGCTATACAGAAACCCGGTCCTTGTTCGAGCAGCTTTCATGGCAATTCGAACAACAGTGACTCTTCTCCTCAGACTTCTTCGCTAAAAGGCGAGGAACAAAATTCGCAAATCAATCGAGCCGAAGCTAAAAAGCTTGTAAAAAATCTGTACATTATGATTTCTTAGCGGTTACAACGATGAAAATGGACGATGAATGGAAGACTAAAAAACCTTAATGGATTTCTTCTTATAAAACCCTAGGGTTTTAATTGTGTTTTCGAATAGATAGCTATGCCGGAGCTTCCCGAGGTAGAGGCCGCGCGGCGGGCGGTGGAGCTCCACTGCAAGGGCCTCATTTGCCGCGCCAGCGTCGCCGACGACACGACCGTGATCGAAGGCATGGCGCCGTTTGATATGCAGCGCCGCCTTGTGGCCAAGAGGATCGTCGCGGCGCATCGCAAAGGCAAGCAGCTGTGGCTGGAGCTGGACGAGCCCCCAAGCATTTGCTTCCAGTTTGGTATGTCGATTTCCTGGGCTACATTTTCCTTCCTCTTTTTTGTTGTGTTCTTTGTAAATTTCCTAGGCTACGTTGGATTGTTCTTTGCTTCCTTCCTCATTTTTTGTGATAGCATTTTTTCTAGTGAAAGTTTTAGTTCTAGTGTTTGCTCTGTGCAGGCATGGCCGGAGCTGTGTATGTGAAAGGAGTAAAGAGCACGAAGTATGTGAGGTGAGTGGTGGTCGAGTTTCTTTTTCTCTTTTGCTTGCAGCGCTTACATTTTTTGTTTTGCTGCTTGTAGGTCCGCTGTGAAGGATGAAGATGAGTGGCCCTCCAAATACTCCAAAGTTCATCTCGTGGTGCGTTTAGCTAGATGAATGTGCAATGTGCGAAACTTATCTTTGTTTCACCAGCTGGACACTGGTGTGGAGATGTCGTTCACGGACAAGCGCAGGTTTGCACGGGTTCGACTTTTACAAGATGTACGTAGCTCGTTTTTTTTATTTTGGTGGTTTCTCTGATGACTTTTTCGGCCTTGAAGCCACGCTTGTCTCCGCCAATATCTGAACTGGGACCGGATGCTTACACAGAGCTTCCGGATGAAACTACTTTCGCCGACTCTGTTGCGAAAAAGAAGACGGCTATCAAGGCTGTTCTACTTGACCAGGTGTGGCGATTTCCTTGTTTTGTTTTTTCTGACTGTTATCTTTGTTCCAAACAGAGCTTTATCGCGGGGATTGGCAACTGGATTGCTGATGAAGTACTCTATCAGGTAGGCAAAAACTTTGTGTGCTGTTTCTGGTCTTACAGTTGTTATGGCAGTCTAGAATACATCCTGAGCAACCAGCGTCCACCTTAACAGCTATAGATTGCGAGCGACTTCGTGGGGCTATCAAAGAGGTTAGACCACATTCCCAGTTTTTCAATCTTTGTTTTTGCTTACTGGTCTTTAATCCCAAAGACTTAGAAAACTTAGAATTCAAGTGCATATACATGTAGGTTGTGATGACTGCGGTTGACGTTGATGCTGATCTTGAACGCTTTCCTAGAGATTGGCTTTTTCATCACCGCTGGGGTAAAAAGCCTGGCAGTGTAAATGGTGAGTTTCCTAAGAGTTTTAATATTGCGCATATGGCAGGTTCTTGAAACGGCCATCGCTGTGGAAGGCGATTCGTCCCAGTATCCAGACGACTGGATTTATCAACACCGCGAGAAGAAATCTGGTGCTACTGTGAATGGTCTGCATTCTCATGCGTGCATATCGTTGGTGTTTTTTTCTTTTCTTTTTACTTTTTCGTTTATCCACTTTGTTTTTAATCTCGGTTGGCACTTTTCCAGGGAAAAAGATCGAGTTCATCACTGTTGGCGGAAGGGTATGTGAACTTTATGTCGTGAGGCTCTTGGTCACAGTGTGTTTTTGGCTGTCAGACGTCTGCTTATGTGCCGGAGCTGCAGAAGTACGATGGGGTTCCAAAGAAGAAGACGCCATCGAGGAAGAAATCTATCAAGGGGAAAGTGGACGACGAGAACGAAGTGGAAGAAGAGGAGGAAGCCGCGCCAAAGAAGAAGGCTGTCTCCCGGAAGAAAAAACCCGTGGACGACGACGGGGAATCTGATGGTGATGACAAACCAAAGAGGAAAGGGGGTGCAGTGAAGGCAAAAAGCGATGACGTTGAGCAAGAAGCACCAAAGAAAAGGGGAAGGCCTGCAAGGAATCAAGCAAAGGTAGGCACTGTTCTTCCGGGTAGCGATGAGGAGCAGGATGAGAAAGTCAGTTCGGGAAGAGTTAAAAGAGGCCGGGGGGGCTCCAAGTCGCAAAGTGGGAAGAAAAAAGCGAAAGTGAGCTCCTCTAAGCAGTCATCGTGAAAGCGCGTTGATGGGCTTTCCAAAGGTGGTGAGGTTTGATTTCTTCGGTCTTTCTTTTCTAGCTGTGGTTCGAGAGTAATAGTCTACTAGAGCTGTGAAGTTATCTCTCAGTTTTTTCGATTCTTACTGTTCGTCTTTGTGCAGGATGAGGCTAAGTTGGACGACGAGGACTTGAGCTATGGCCTCGGAGCAAAATGCGTTGGTGGTGGAAGTGGATTAAATCCGAGCACAGTGGCAGCAGCAGTAAGATCGCAGTGGTCATCGTTTCTCGGTAAGTTTCCGAGATTCAAAGAGGCTTGCCCCTCTTTGAATTCGTATCCTTATAGTCAGCAGCAGCAGCAGGAGTGCTTTACGATCGGGATTTCTAGCTGTAGTAGCAACAGGTTAAGTGCGTTGAATCGCATCGTCTCTCGAGCTCCTTTGAGAGTAGAAGGGCGACTCGGGATTAAATTCCTGTCCTACGTTCTCCGAAAATCCGCCTACTTATAAGCAAATACAAGTTTTTTTTCTAAGTTCTCGTAGTCTCGATAATGTGGTGTGAAATCCTGTCCGTTGAGATAAAACACCATCCCAATCGTTGATTTGCTAGGGTTCTGGATTTAGGGTTCTAGTTCTCTCCAGCGCAGGCGGCTATGGTGAGCGCCATTCTTCTCTTTGCTCGTTCTTAGCCGGATTGTGTCTGTGCAGGCGAAGCGCACGAAGAAGGCTGGAATTGTCGGCAAATACGGTATGTACCATCGAATGCGCTCTTGTATTTTCGTGTGCTGATTTCTCGTGCGCGCCAGGAACTCGCTATGGCGCCAGTCTGCGTAAGCAGATCAAGAAGATGGAGGTCAGCCAACACTCCAAGTACTTCTGCGAATTCTGTGGCAAGGTGAGAAAAAGAGAGAGATTTGGACGAGGTTTTGATCTATTCCTTGGTCTTGTGTAGTTCGCAGTGAAGAGGAAGGCCGTGGGAATCTGGAACTGCAAGGATTGCGGCAAGATCAAGGCTGGCGGCGCTTACACGCTCAAGTGAGAGTCCCTTTCGCTTTTCTTTTGTTGCCTGTTTTGATCGAGATCCATTTCTCGCTGCAGTACTGCCAGTGCCGTCACAGTGAGGAGCACGATCAGGCGTTTGAGGGAGCAGACCGAGAGCTAAGTAGAAATCTCTCTCGCTGTGTTTTGTTTTAATCCGGAAGGAAAAATTTCAAGAGCCCTCTTTTAACTTGGAGTAGCTTGTCTCCCAGGAATCTATTTGATAGAAGATTGCAGTGATCATCAGGTCTAGAGGAGGCTTGCTCCTCTTTGAATTTATCCAGCCAAAATCCAAGTGATCATCGCTTCCAGAGGAGGCTTGAATTGATCCAGCGTAACTCGCGAGAGAATTGATTCGCGAGAGAAGCTCGAGCTTCTCCAGAGATCCGTAGAACGTTTTTCCAAGTTCTCGTTATTCTTCCCATACTTTGTTCTCCAAATCATTTTCTTTCGACCACTGTCCGACTGTGTAATGAATTTTACTGCGAACGATTCAGACACCTTAGATTTCCCTGGGCCGTTGGATGGGCGGGATCCAACGGCCGCGCGGGACCCAACCGAGGCCGTTGGATGTGGGCAAAGAGAGAAAAGAGCGCTTGTTCGTAATCCAAAGCTATGGCGGGGGAGTCGAATCCAAGGCCACCGGCGAGGCCGCCAGCGCCCCCGCTGCTCTTCCAATTCCCGACGCTCAGCCCGCAGCCCATCTGGTCGATTCACGCCCAGGGGCAACAGCAGCAGCGGCAGCAAATGGCCGCTCCATCGATGATGCTACCGCCTCCACAATCGCTGGAGTTCCACCAAATGCCGCAGCAGCGCTTCATCGCGATCCCACCGCAGCAGCAGCAGCAGCAGCAGTATCATCTCCAGCAGCAGCAGCAGCAAGGTGGGTTTCGTGGAAACCTAAATTTCCAGAGACCATCTCCAGCCCCCGACTTGAACAGCCCGGCCTCGCCATCGCCGGCCCAGCTCGGATTCTATGCCCGACACCACCAAAAATCGCAGCACATGGTCTTCCTCGAGCGCGCCGGAGCTCTCGTGGATCAAACGACGTTCTTGAAAGAAACATCGCCTTTGGCGCCTGTTCTTCCGCCTCCTCCGCCTCCTCCTCCTCGAGCTCAGTGCCAGCAGCTCCAGCAGCCTCTCGATCTTTCCAAGCGCCATTTCTCCTCCAAGAACGAGGCGAGACAGGCAAAGAAATCAAAGAGAATGGAAATGCCGGCTGTGCAAACTCCGCCGCCGCCGCAAAGATCGAGCCCCTTCGGTAGAGAGGACCTGGAGCAGCCGGAATCGAGAGTTTATCCGGCTCCACTCGCGGATCATCGAGAAGTTGTCGCGGACGAGAAGCTCTTTCTCAGCACGCTCTCGAAGTTTTACGAAGCCATGGGTGGAACTCCACTCCGGTAAGAGCTTGCGATCATAAAAAAAACATTCTTTTTTCTATTGCTCTCGAGACTTTATTACTTGGTTTTCCTGGCAGGCTTCCTCGCTTCCATGGCAAAGACTTTGAGATCCATCGGCTGTATTGCGAGGTCTCGGAGCAAGGAGGCATGCTTAAGGTTTTCTTCTCGCGAGAAAGAGAACAATCCCGAAACTAGCTTCGTGTCTTGCAGGTTATCAGGGAGAAGAAATGGAAAGATATCGCCACAGCATTTGATCTTCCTCGAAACGTGACGAACCCCGTGTTTTTCCTGCGTAAAAACTACGAGAAGTTTCTTCATCACTACGAGCAAGTGTATTTTCACAGAAAAACTGGAGCACACATTCCACCACCCGGTAAACAAAATTCTTTGTTTTTGTCGCAAAGCTGATCTGATCATTCTCAAACAGGACCTTTGCCAATGCCAGCTCCAGTTTCAGAAAACATCAAAGACCATGACTCGAATAACGATAGTAGCAAATTGAATCAAACTCCAGGTGAGTTATTTTCACGAAATAAAATAAATAAATAACTGTGACAATCTGGTATCTATGTGTGTGTGTGTGTTTTTTTTTGTAGCAAATCCAGCATCTTCACTCGGCCATACTGTAACCGGAGCCATCGAAGGAAAGTTCGAGCATGGATACTTCGTCACAGTCGTGGTTGGATCAGAGAAACTACGAGGTGTGATCTACAGTGTTCCTCAAAGTCTGGCCGAAGCACAGGAGCAATTCGCAGATGTAGAGAGCAACACTGCGGAGAATCCGCAGTTGCTGGATCCGCCCGACAAAAAAGCTGGTAACATAAAAGCTCGTCCTCGGAAGAAGGAGAAACGAAAGCGAAGGGTGGAGGGAATCAAATCAGTGAGGAATGGATACAACTTCTTCGTCGGGGAGCAAAGACAGAAACTCAAAGGAGGAGGAGGACGAGATGAAATGAGTAAGATCATCGGGGATCTCTGGTCCAAACTCTCGGAGGAAGAGAAAGAGGTTCGTCTTCCACTCTTTTACGGTGTTCTTTCGATCTAAGATAGTTGTTCTTCGTTTTTCAGCCTTACAGGGAGATGAGCAAGAGGGACAAAGAACGATTCAGCCGAGAAGTGGAAGAAAAGAAGCAGCGAGAGCTTCGCGCTTCAGAGAGTCATTTGGATTCGGGTCTGCAAGACGATGGTGGCGACGACGACGACGAAGACGATGACGAAAAGCAAGCTAGGAGCGAAAATGCGGTCGAAAGATACAACGTTCAGCTCAACACGAACGAGCAGCAAATCGAGAACTTTGCTCCAAACTATTTGGAGCATCCGATCGATTTCACTCAGCACCAACAAGCCGATTTTACTCCAAACCATTTGCACTATCAACAAGCTCGTGTACAGGAGACGTAAGATTGGATAGAAAACTCACAACTCTAACTAGTTTTGTTCTACCTTTTTTCGAAGTTTATGTCCTTCGTGTTTATTTTTCTCTTGTTCCTGTAAGTCAACTTCTTCGTTTCATCCACACGCATTGGCTGCCGTCGATCCATGGGCTTGATCCAAGGGCTGCGAGGGGTTGGTAATGCTAACGCCGGGCTCGTGGAATGGAGGCTATATAGAAGCTGTGCCCATGCATTGCAGTGCTGGTGGCTTTAGGGATTTATTTTAGGGCATCGGGTTCGTGGATGGCGCTGGCGCTGGCCATGGCGCCGTGCTGCCGCTGATCGATGCTGCTGCTAGGTCACTCAAAGTTGGCCCATTCTCACGAGATTTCAGCTGCTGCGTGCCGTCTAAGGTGAGCGATGCGCGGCGCATGTCGATCTTTGGTGCTCATTCTGTGTTTCTCGTACTACGTCAGAAGCGCCAAGCCGACGGGAAGAAGAAGAAGCTCCGGTGAGGTAAGAATGCCGCTCTCTCTGTCTCTCGAGTATCTTTGCCTGCGCCGACTCTAGATTTGTGAAAGAGAGCGTGAAATTTCGGGATCCGGTGTGATGTCCGCAGGTAGAAAGATGCCGTCTGAGGAGCGTGGAAACGGGGGAGAGGCCCCCAACGAAGACCCATCACCGGAATGTAGTAACGATGCTGCTGCTGCTCCTGCCGTGGATGCTACTACTCCGGCTGATGCTGCTGCTGCTGCTGCTGCTGCTGCTGCTACTGCTGCTACTGCTGGTGATGGTCCTCCAGGTAAAAACTTTTGCTTGAGGACTTTGGTGCTTAGTTCGGATTCTTTTGCAGTGGCTGCCGACGCTACTCCGGCTCGATCTCCTCCTGTCGATGGCTCCAATGAGTAAGCTGTTTGGTGCTCTCGATATTTAGTCGCCTTGAGTGGCATATATGGAATTTTTTTCTTCTCTTTTTCTTAAATGTTTCAGGTACATCACAGTGTACTTAAGCGAGATTCGAAAGGAGATGCAGTGTCCCATTTGTTTGGGTATTTCACACGGCTACCCGCAGTTTGGCTACAGTAACTTGTGGATTTTTGTTGCAGGTATCATCCGGAAGACAAGGACGGTTATGGAGTGCTTGCACAGATTTTGTAGAGAGTGTATAGACAAGTCGATGCGTTTGGGGTACGATGAGCGTTTTTCTTTTTCTTTCATGTTCGTGTCTAATAACTTGGGCGATTGATCTACAGGAACAATGAGTGCCCTGCATGTCGTACCCATTGCGCCAGTAGGAGGTCTTTACGGGATGATCCGAATTTTGATTCATTAATTGCGGCGTTGTACCAGGATATCGACAAGTATGAAGAAGAGGTACGAAGCCCAACTTCTATGTTTATGTGCTAAGCTGTATGTTTTAACAGTATCAACTTTTCATCTAGGAAATGTCTTTGCTCGAAGAAGAGACGTGGAAGAATAAGCAGGTAACCATCTCGGTTGACCCTGCATCGCTCGCTGGTTGTTAACGTCGAACGGCTTCCAGATCCAGGCTGACATCGCGGAAACCGCCAAACGACAGTCCGAAGCACTTGCCAAACGCAGAACAGCTAAAGCCACTGCTGCTGCTATTGTCAGAAAGGCCCACGGTAAGTTCAGGCCTGTATCAGGTCGAAGGGGGCGAGGCGGCTCCAGGCGGAGAAGTTCGAGAAGAGAACTTTCGCCTTTGGAAGACGAAAGTGACTACTATATGGAGAAAGACGTTCCTGTGGAGCCAAGGAGAACATCTACTCGCAAGAGACAGAGACCTGTTACGTTTGACTCGTCGCTAAGTGTCAGCATTGAGGAAGAAAGTAACGACAGTGACGACGAAGTGGACGATGTCGTAGCTCGCAGAAGGCATGCATCTCCAGCGACAGGAAATGGAGACGCTATGGTAACCTGGGCAAGAGCTGGCACTCGCAGTCACACACGGTATGGAAGCGTTAGTACTGGCGCTGGAAACAGTGCCAGGCACCTGCGGTGTATGCGTGCTACAGTTCTACTTGAGTCTCTGGCCGCTGCTACGTACAAAGATATCAATGAGGTTTGTAGAGTGACCTTGTTTTCTCGTTTTGTTTTCTTAGCAAAACTTATAACGAATTTTTATTTTGCAGCTTGATGTCCAGTTCAGTTTAATGCCAATGATGGATGACTCGAATGCCGCAAACAATCTTCCAAGTCTCGAGAGGCCTCACTTGTGCTGCTCACCAAAACTGTCTATCCAACAAGTTTGTTCGGTATGCTGTTACAAGTTTCCTTGTTTTAGGGAATCAGTTACTGACTGCTATCACTTGCAGTTTCTTATGAGTCACGACTTGTTCCCAATGGATACGGAACTCGAAATTGTTGCGGAATGTGATTGCAGAGATCCCCTCGTCCGTGAAAAGCTGCAAAACAAGGAGCCCAGTGCCAATAGCGGGAAATTTGTGGAGATTCTCGACATGAATGCTACTCTAGGCGACGTTTATACTGCTTACTGGAATAGATACAACAACTTGGTAAGTCATTAGCGTCATTCTTCTTTGTGTAGTAACCTATATCTGTTGCTCGCAGTCCTTGCTGTACCGGAGAAAGTGTCAATAACTTGTAACCCGTGACGCGTGAGCAGTGTACCATAGCAAGCACACTTTGTAGTCAGTTAGAGGAGATTGAGCTAGTTTTTTGCATGTATATTGACGAGGAAACACTTTGCAAACACATTTTCTTCCTCGAGGTATGGATTGTCCACTTTGTTGAGCTTTAAAAGAGTTTTCTCCGCAGGTTTGAAACTAGATATGGATTTTTCTATCAACAAGGTTCTTCCCCACTCGCCTGCATGGCGGGGGAAAAGCGTGCTGTTTGATAAGAAAGTAGAAGTTACTAGGGAGGAGCCCCTCGACTTTTCAACAGCGTGGAAGCAGGAGGCTTTCAGAATGCATCTCCGGTGTGGGGGCATTGACCAGGCCGAGAAACTCTTCAGCAAGCTCCACACGCAGGATGTTATGCAGTACACCCTGCTCATCTCGGCTCTGGTCAGGGAAGGAAGATTTCACGACGCAGTCGGCTGGTTCCAGAGAATGCTGCTAGAAGGGAGAAAGCCAGATCGAGTTTGCTTCGTAGCAGTTGTGGGTGCTTACGGTGGGATTGGGGACTTGGACAAGGCAAAGTTTATCCATGGCTACCTCTACAGGTCTGGCTACGAGGCTGATATCATAGTCGGGACTGCTCTCGTCAACTTGTATGCCAAGTGCGGTAGCTTCCGGAACGCTCGGCTCATGTTCGGCAGGATCACTTCGAGCTCGACAGTGCTGTGGAACGCGATGATCACTGCGTATACCCAGAGCAGGTATGTGGAGCTCTACTGCGGCGAGGTTGTCAGCTTGTTTCAGCGGATGTGCTTGCAAGGGATCAGAGCGAACCAGGTGACGTTCGTCGCCGTGCTAAACGCCTGCGTTGGCCCGTCCATGGCGGAGGAAGTAGAAAGGATACATGGGCTGGTGACCGAGAGTGGTTTTCAAGGCGAGCTTCTCGTCCAGACCGCGTTGATCAAGGCTTATGGGAGAGCAAAGCTCGCGGGGATTGCTACGAGGATCTTCGAGGGGATAGTGGAGCGGGACATCGTTGCCTGGAACACTATGGTGGCGGCTTATGAAGCCGCGGGTCACTTCCGCGAGGCCGTGCACACCTTCTGGCAAATGCGAGCCGAGAGCCGAGTAACTCCAAACAGGATCTCCTTCGCGGCCGTGCTGAGAGCTTGCGCCGGTCTCCAGGACTTGAGGCAGACCGAGAGAGTTCATGGTCTTACGATGGAGTTGGGGATGGCTGGGGACGAAGAGGTGCAAGCGAGCCTCGTGGATGCGTATCTGGCGTGCGGCTCTCCAAGCGGAGCTCTCGGGATCTTTGGCTCGATGGTATCGCGGCCTCCTCGTTCGTGGAGGTCGGCCTTGCGAGCCGCGGGAGACGTGGTGGTGTTTAGATTGATGATGCTGGATCAAGGGTCAGCAGCAGTGGATGGAGTTACGCTGGGTGCTGCGCTTGGATTCTGTGAAACACGGGCTGACGTAGAGCTCGTCCGTGCGTGTGCTAAAGAAGCCGGGCTGGACCTGGACGAGGAACGGGCTTGGTAAGATCCTGAAACGTCTGCATGAGAATTTTAAAAAGCTCTCTTTAGTAAACCTTTCTTTATCTTTGTCGTCAATGTCCAAATGCCAGTGAGCTAGCAAGACAAAATAGGTGTCAATTAACGAAATTCTTGTCTTTTAAGGAAGAATATTTATTTTAAAATGTTTTTATACTTGCTTTATTCCATGCTCTTAAAAAACACTTTCACAACAAACAATGCTGGGGTAAATAAAAGATGGGTTAGATGAAATTGCATCTATAGCTAAGTCATGTCTAACCAATTAAAATTTTCTATTTTCACTATAGTTTCTTTTATATTGGTGAGCAAATAATTTTTATTATGTTTTCTAACCCATTTCTTCTTTGTAGTGGATTAATATTTTTGGTTATGGGGATGAATGTAATGGGCAATTTAATCTATCTTGTAGTCTTTTGACATGTATTAACAGGTATTTAACAGCTTCATGTTTAACAACTGATCTCACCATTAGTGTTCAAACAAATATCCAAATAGAAAATTGTGTTCCAGAGGTAACAAGTTGTAGTGTGGGTAATGCTGGTGAGTTTACATGTGTGGATGCCGGAGGTAATGAGATAACTCAAGAAGTATTTTGTGCAATTGTAAATACTAATGGTCAACTCTCCTGTGTACCACATGATCCAGAGGAGCCATTTACTTGAATAATAAATAAAGTATTAAATTATTCTATATTTATTATGTATGGTAGTAGATATAATAGTTTTTATTGTAGTATATTTTTAAATTTCATCAAAGTTTTAATTTAACCAAAATAATTATTTCATTAAAATGATATTAAAGTTAAACTGATTAGCTTATTACTATTATTAAACTACTGATAATGTTATTATTAACCACTCAACATCTCCCTAGTGAGTGTTCTTCACTGTTTGACAAAGATCTCTTTGATCTAATTAGATCTAGGATAAATCAATTGAGCTGGTGGGATTGAGCAATAGTTTCTTCTCAGTCAGATTCAAAGAGCCATTGTAAGTGTTGGAAGCATTTGTTACCGAGATTTCAAATTATATTATGCTCTAAATTGAATTCTAGTTAAATTCATATAATATTTGATTAAATGCAAAAATATAAAGAGAATATGGTTAAGGTACCACATGCTAAACCATATGTTATTCAGAAGAATGAAAGATATAGAACTTTTGCCAATGTTTCTTCATGCTCTGAACTTAATATGGCTCTAAGCCCAGCTCTAGTGTTTGGAATAATAGTGACTTCTTTCCTGATTCCTTAACATGCACAGGCAGAAGAGATAAAACCTGGAGAATATCCAGGCATATTCCTGGATATCCCTTAATTATTTCTGATGTTAATATTCTTTTATCAAAGCCTACTTCCATAGAAGAACACCTTGGTGGTTTGTATACCACCTTCGCACTAACTTCTACTAGTAGCTGGAGGGCCAATTTGGCCTAGGATTATGCCACTTTCCAGGCGGAGGTGTTTAAGAAGCAGTTCAAGCTAGGGTTTCTTGGCTTGGTCTTTATCTCACATGGTAGTGGCTAATCCCACTTCGCCACGAAGCACTTCCGGAGCATCACTGCATGGGCAATGCTGGCTGGATAGATCCACTGCGTCAGGGTCATGCGTAATGTAGGGCTCTGGTGTTTTTCTCACGTACTTGCAAGTGTTATCAAGATCAGGCCTCAACACCGAGATCATGCTCACAAGCCCCAAGTTCGAGATGATCTCTTGTCCCTCACCCCAAGCTCGACGATCACGACCAGGAGCCTCAAAAGCTCGTCCATTTTTTACAAAATCTTTGACTAGAAGGTGGCATTCCTGATCTTCGAGCGCTAGCGGGAGTATCTGGTTGAAAATCAGGCCAAACTCTCGAGCTTTGTCAGTCAGCTGCCTCATAGCCAGCTCCCTCTGCAGAGGCGTGCCATTCTTCACCTTGAGTAGTAGCTTCATGATCTGCCTCTCGATCATGTCTCATTCTCAGACATGTCCTCCTCCTTGTATTACTTGACATCCTCAGCCTTCATCAGCAAACCATCCAGATTTTTCGTCAAAACACCATACTCCTGACTGTGATCGTCTACGCTGGAAACCAGAGTTGGAGTTTCCGCAAGCACAAGGTTCCAAGGTGGCAAGCATAGTTGGGGCTGACTTTGCTAAGATGAGAGGCTTAAGACTTTACCTTTTTAGATTAGCAAACCAAGCATTTTCTTAACAAATAGTTTTGCCCTAAACTCTCTGCGCTAGGTCATGGCGGATCCCTCCGTGATTCAACAGGTGAGTAAGTCTGGATGGAGAGAATGCAGCACTCCTCCTTGGACGCTTTGTGCCTCGCAGGCTGTGGAGCAACAGGTGCTGACAGTTGCCAAGGTGATCGAGGAGCAGCTCGACGATGAGATCTCCAAGCTCGACAGGCTCGACGACGACGATCTGGAGAGGCTGCGCGAGCAGCGCCTGGCGCAGATGAAGCAAATGGCCGCCAAGAGGCAGCAGTGGCTCGCCCTCGGCCATGGCGACTACCAGGAGATCCACTCGGAGAAGGATTTCTTCGCGGTGGCCAAGGCCAGCGAGCGCGTCGTGTGTCACTTTTACAGAGAAAACTGGCCCTGCAAGGTACATTCTCCTCTTCTTCCCTTTCTCTCTTTCTCTCTTCTGTTACGCAGCATTTCTTCCTTCTCAGGTGGTGGACAAGCATCTCGACATCCTCGCAAAGCAACACCTCGAGACGAGATTCGTGAAGATCCATGCCGAGAAGAGCCCCTTCCTCACGGAGAGGCTCAAGATCGTCATGCTGCCCACGCTGGCTCTCATCAAGAAAGGCAAGGTCGACGATTACGTGGTGAGTATAAATAAGCTCTGCCTCCATTCCATGCGAGAGCTCCAAAAACTTTTGCCTCGATCGATCAACAGGTTGGATTCGATGAGCTCGGTGCCACCGATGAATTCAGCACGGAAGAGCTGGAGGAGAGGCTCGCGAGATCGAGCATCGTCATGGCGGACGGGCAGAGCTCGCTGGACAGATCCAGAGAGACAGTCCGGCGAAATGTTCGTCAAAGCAGCCGCGACAGCGACTCCAACTCGGACGATGACTGACGGCTTAGCTAGAACATAACAGAATATCCGTAGCACTTGTCGGAATATTCTTTCCTTGCTTATCTATATATCTGGGGTTTAATCGTTTTCGCTGCCTTTTGGGGATTTTAGGGTTCTTGAGGAGCGATGGGAGAGCGCAAGGTCTTGAACAAGTACTACCCGCCGGATTTCGATCCGGCGATTCTTCGGCGGCTGCCCAAGACCGAGAAGAAGCAGATCAAGGTGCGTATGATGCTTCCCATGAGCATCCGGTGCAACACCTGCGGGAATTACATCTACAAGGGCACCAAATTCAACTCTCGCAAGGAAGACGTTGTGGGAAAGGTATGTAGAGTTCTTGGGATTACTCTCTTTGTATTTTTCTTTCTTTCCTAGCTCGATCGGACACTCTACTTAGTATCTTGGGTGTACTGTGCAGACTTACCTGGGCATACAAATCTTCCGCTTCTACTTCAAGTGTACCAAGTGCTCCGCGGAGCTGGCTATGGTGACGGATCCTCAAAACAGTGACTACGTGATGGAGTCTGGAGCGAAGCGGAACTTTGAGCCGTGGCGGGAGCAGGACGAGGCGATGGAGAACGCGAAGAAGCAGCGGGAGATCGATGAGATGGGCGATGCGATGAAGGCGCTGGAGAACAAGACCGTGGATTCCAAGCAGGAGATGGACATCATGGCGGCGCTGGACGAGATGAAGTCGATGCGAGCGAGGCACGCTCAAGTGGACACGGCCGCGATGCTCGAGGTCCTGCAACGCACCGCCGCTGCAAACATGCAGAAGAGGATCGATGAGGAAGACGAGGAGATTCTACGAAGCGTGGTTTTCAGAGTAAGTTCTTCCTTGTCGTTTTTGGTTCTAAGCTTTGAGTTTCCTTAGAACTCGGAGGGCTACGTGAAAAGGCTCATGGACGACGAAGACGACGACGAAGATGAGCCAAGGAAGAAGCAAAACGTGGAAACGAATCCAGTGCCTAAGCCGCCATTGCCAGCGGCTGCCAAGAAAGCAAGTGGCGGCCCAAAGTTCATCATCAAACCTGTCGAGAAAAGCATCAAACCAGTCGAGAAGAGCAACGTAAGTAGTGCTGCTCCTCAAGCTAACGGTGCGCTCTCCTCGCTTGGGGCCTATGCTTCGGACGACGACGACGACGAGGAATAGCTCCAGAAGCCCAGGAGAAGTTCCCAGATTATTGGAGCTAGCTGCTAAGCGAAGATCATAGATACTTCACCGCAGCTCCATCGTCACAATCACGGTGGGAGAAACAGTAAATGATTCTATAGTTTGCTACTACTGAGAGTGAGAACTTTTCCAGGGTCTTTGGAAAGGACACACGCATCACTTCAGTTTGACTCCTATAATCCTAAATTCTATCTTTTTTCCACCGGTAAAGAGTTTCCTTCTCCAAAATTCCTGGGTTTGAAATGTACAGTTCTTGGTCGTTCTTCCTGTTAGAATCCAACTAGAGCAAACGCTGTTAGCAAGATCACTCGCTCCAATCCCGCCGGGAAGCTGTTCAAGCTGCTGCTGCTGCTGCTGCTGCTCGGGGTGGCGGTGGAGTTTTGCGGTATGATCGAGTTGACGCTGCCAAAAGAACAAATATCCATGATCCAATCCAAGTTCCAAGTTCCAAAGAATGAGATTAAAGCTCACCTCCCAGACGAGTAAATGCAACTATTATAGCCTGCAAGATCACGCAAGTTATAGCGATGGATGGATCGATCGAAAGAAAGCATAGATTTTTCCAATACACTTACTTGGATCGGTGCTGGTGAGCGTGGCACAGCCATTGAAATCGCAAGTCCCATTCCCTTGGACGTTCCTCTGGAAGTAGCTATTGAACGCATAGGAAGCGTGCGATGCCACCGAGTCGGGCGAGTAGCAAGCCCCTCCCTGCTGGATCGCGGAGCAATCGGCATTGCCGATTCCACACGCCCAATTCAGCGCGGACTCGAGATCCTTGTCGCTGGCTCCACTCCTGGCGACACACCACATCTTGGCGATCGATCCATTCCCAGTGGAGGAATCGCGAAGCATGGTCACGCCCGAGACGTCGAGCTTGTAGACGGGCGTCTGGTTGGCGTGGAAGAGCCCCCACAATCGGCCGCCATCGCCACCGCTCTTGCGATCCTCGCTGTAGAGCTCGTGGATGTACGTGTCCACCTCCAACCCGGGGCGCATCGGCGACGCGCGGTTGGTGAGGACGTGCTCCACCAGATTGGTGTTGAAGATCTCGGCCTTCTCGATCGTGGCGTCGGGCGACTCGCCCTTCCACGGCCACCCCGCGGCGCCGATCACCAGCGGCACGTCCGTGTGGTTCATCGCCGCCATGGCGCTCAAGGCCGCGTCCACGATCGCGTCGAAGAGATTGGTGTAGTTGAGCTGCGTGGTGGCGTCGGTCGCGCCGCGGTTGGGCTGGAAGAGCGCGTACTCGATCGGCGTGATGCTGGCGCTCTGCTCGTAGATGGCGAGGGGATCCAGGTCGAGCAGGAAGTAGGAGTCGGTGGCGGCGAGGAAGTCGAGCATGGGCGCGAGCACCGCGTCCGCGAAGGAGAGGTTGAAGAAGGCGCGCGAGGGCGGGAAGGCGCCCATGAGGATGGTGCTCGAGTGGGCGCTGGTGATCTTGATGGAGCGATCCAGGCGGCCGGCGTGGACGAGCGCGCGGTGGAGGGAGCGCATGGCGGGGACGAGCAGCGGCGCGGCGATGGGGTAGCCGGTGAGCACGGCGTCGCCCACGACAATGCCGGTGATGTTGGTGTTGGGGAGGAAGGCGAGGACGTTGTTCTTGAGCCAGGCGGCGGCGGCGGCGGGCGAGGCGGCGACGCTGTGGATGGCGTTGTTTGGCAGCGCCACCAGGACCCGGATGCCCGAGCCCGCGAAGGCGGTGAGAGTGTCGGAGCTGGCGTCGTAGAGGCGGACGTGATCCACGCCCATGCTCGTGAGGAGGTCGCAGACGTGCTCCGGGCGGGGGAGATTGGAGACCGCGGTGCCGAAGCTCACACCCACGAACGCACCTAAACTCCATCCATCCATCCGCGGATCGATCGATCGAGGACGAGGAAAACGAATATGAATCAATCGCGCGGTGATCGTAAAGGGTTGCTTACCTGAGGCGGAGTGGAGGAAGAGGGTGACAGCCAAGACGATCGACGCCATCGCCGGGAGCTTCTTCTTCTTGGCGGAGCGCGCCTCCATTGCTCGAAGGGATGGATGAATGCCCTCTTTTGGAGAAAAGACCAAAAGCCCAAAGCCTGTCCTGGCGCTGGCAATAACTCCACGAGACTCTCTCTCTCTCTCCATCCCTCGCTCGCTCGCGCACAGTGACAGAAGAATCTGTTAGGCTTCTTAGTTCATGGCGAGAAATGGATTATAGCTGGATTGCTCCATGGATTCACCACCTATTTGTTCACCTTGATCGTGGAAAATCGACCGTTGTCACTCGCAATCCTGGAAAGAGACTCCCAGACACGAGATGATCAAAGAGCTCTCTCTTTCTTTTCCTTCCTTGCACACACACACACACACACAACCCACACAGGTACAATACATACAAAGCGCTCTTTTTCCATTTTATTCTTTCTTTACTGGCTTTGCTGTTACGTACGATGGAGAATAATCCTGCAATAATGCCTCGCAATACCACATCATTACCATTACTGGATCGCAAATCCACGAACCTCGAAAACAATAGCACACCACCGTCGTTTGATCGATCGAAATCAATATCATACGTTTGTAATGGTCTCAACGAATTGTATTATTTCATTATTACATCAAAAACCATATTTTATCAATCTTATAAGCTATTTATTATTATTAATATTCAATATTATTGGTATTATCCGTCACCTCACTGGATTGTGGCACGGAAGTTTGACTGCAACGTCCGTCTTGTTGCGCTGCGCTGCGCTGCCTGTCCCTGGCTCGACTGGCTGGGTAAAACTTGCCAGGTTTTTGATGTGAAATGTTCTGTGGTACTCGATTACCAACCCAAGTTGCCCTCCGGGACCAATATTTTCATGAATGAATGAGATGTCTGCCATCTTTTCTCTCTCCTATTTCTCCTCGGGAACTTTTGGCAAATGTATGGCTCTTGGAATTTCTTGATCAAAAAGATTTCTTTGTTTGTTGTTGTTGGCTTATACAATCTCTTTTCTAGAAAGTATACAATTCTGTCACCCTGAGTGGCTGGCTTTTGGTTTCGTGCACTAGAGAGAATAAGAACCGGGGAATCTCTCAAACTCAAAGACGCACTAACTGACTTGGAATACGATGGATGATTAACTCCTCCATGGCGGGTCTCACACTTCTGCCTCAAGCCAAGCATTTGTTATCGCCCCAGCCATTTGTTCTTAGCAAATGCCACTGCCAGTACAGGCATTGCAAAAACCAATTTACAAAGTGGGGCATTGCGAGAATCGAACTCGCGGCCTCTCGCACCCAAAGCGAGAATCATACCACTAGACCAAATGCCCATTTACACAATAGTTAATCGTTCTATGTCAATCTTTTTGGTGGTGGCGCGGGGTCTGGCAAATGCGAGCCGAGACTCCAAATAGTATCTCCTTCGCGGCCGTGCTAAGAGCTTGCACCGGTCTCCAGGACTTGAGGCATGGCGATGGAGGTGGGGGTGGCTGGGGACGAAGAAGTATCTGACGTGCAGCTCTCCAAGCGGAGCTCTCAGGATCTTTGGCGTGATGGAATCGCGGCTGCCTCGTTCGTGGAAGTTCTGCATTGAGAGCCACGGGAGACGTCGTGGTGTTTAGGTTGATGATGCTCAATTAAAGGATGGAGTAGGATTCTGTGAAACACGGGCTCATGTGTGTGCTGTAGAATTGGATGAGGAAACGTTTTAAACAGCTTGGTAAGATCCCAAGAGATGGTGAGAAAGGAAAAATATCTTGAGAAAGGACAATCCAACGTCCATTTGGCATCCATCAGTCTCATGCTTCCAGCTGGGCACCGCAAGACTATCATAGCAGCATATAGATAGATAGAGAGATAGATATTCTCTGCTTATGTAGCAATTAAAGATGATTTGAAGATGCTTGCTGGCGGAAGAGCTCAAAATGATGGTAAACCATTCTTCACGTGGCTTAACTTCAGCTTGGTATTTTTTTGAGATTGATTTTCTCTCAACATGTATACAAAAGAGATTCTTGATATTTCACAAGATTTTAGCTTGAGTAAGTAGCTTGAGAAAGATTGCACTCAAGTTTTTGCTAAAAATCAAATTGTAATGTAAGTATACAAAGAACTAACAATAAAGGATTTTGTAATTAATTTGTATTAACTAATCACACATAATAAGACAAAACCTAATTTAATTTAAAAATTAAAATTTTTTATTTTAAAGTACTTTTATATCTTTATATTAGCTAAATCCTATGCTCTGTACTTAGAAAAGCACTTCCATACAAGCACTTCCATAAAGAATTAGATTATTTATCATTTATCTATAAAATATTTTGCTAAGTAATGTTCAAGAAACTAAATATTTTTCTTTTCCTCATAATATACTCTTTATTGGTGAGTAAATAAATTTTTTTTTTCTAACCCATTTTGTATGTTCTCTAATCGACTTTTCTATCATATCCTTAGTGGACTAAAATATTTGCTATTGGGGATGAATGTAATGGGCAATTTCTTGAATCTTGTAGTCTTTCCACATGTATTAATGGATATTTAACAGCTTCATGTTTAACATATGATCCATTAATAAGTGTTCAAACACATATTCAAATAAAAGATTGTGTCAAAGAGGTAACAAGTTGCTCTGTTTTTGGTATTGGTCAATTTCTATGCGTAGATGCTGGAAATAATGAGATAACTCAATTAGTAGATTGTGGAATTATAAATATTAATGGTGAGCTTTATTGTGCACCACATGAACAAGAACCATTTAATTGATAAAATTTATTAAGATTTTCTATATTCTTAATATTGAACATAAAATAAAATTTTGTAAAATAACAAATTAAATGTGTTATATTATTACTAATCTTATGTTATATGTTTTCAAATAAAAGATTATGTAACAAATTGCTCTGAAGAGATTACTCAATTAATAGATTGTGAATTTATAAATTCATTAAGCTCAACCGTTTAATGTTACTATAAAGAAAATAACCATTTTTATTGTGAATTGTTTTTTAGTTGTTTATAAGAGGGTGAATTTCTGGGGGCATTGCGAGAATCGAACTCGCGGCCTCTCGCACCCAAAGCGAGAATCATACCACTAGACCAAATGCCCATTTAGACATCATTAATCTGTTTTAAATGCTTAGTTTTCTATTTCAGCCAGTGGAAGGGCACAAGTTTGAGAGCAGCATTATGTATGGCATTCCATCACCCGAGTCGAGCTCCACAATCTTCTCGACTGCTCGCACACCTTGCTTGCAATCCACATGAAGCTTGCAAGCCGCGAGAATAGCTCTCAGCGCAAGCTCGTCCGGCTCGAAAGGCATGCTCATGACGAGCTCCTCCGCCTCCGCCAGCCTCCCTGCCCGCGCTAGCACGTCCACCATGCAAGCGTAGTGCCCGGCTTCGGGCCTTACGCCGTGATCCACCTCCATGGACACGAACTCCCGCCAGCCTTCGTCAGGGGCGCCCGTGTGGCCGCACAGCGCGAGCGTTGTCATGAAAGTGATCGAGTCGGGAGCGATCCCTTCCAGATTCATGGCGAGGAATGCGTCCACCGCCTCTTGGAAGCCGCCGCGCTGGGAGTGAGCGCTGAGGATCGCGTTCCAGGCGTGAGTGTCGGCTGGATGATCCTGTATCAAGCTCGAGTCCCCGAGCCTTCCAAATGTGTTGGTGAGCGCTGTTCTGACTGCCGGATCGCCCAAGTGATCGTTCTCCCGGAGCAGCGAGTGGATGGTCTTGGCTCTTGAAAGGGACGAGCAGCCAGAGCACACCTCAAGAGCGGCAACGAGGGTCACCTTGTTTGGACGGACACCGTCGAGATCCATAGCCTGGACCATGCCGAAGGCTTCCTCGTGTAGATCGCACTCGAGCAGTGCCGATATCATCGCGTTCCAAGCAGCAGCGTCTCTCTGGTCCCGCGGTGCTCGATCGAACAGCAGCTTGGCATCTTCGATCCGGCCATTTCTCGCCAGAGCTGCCGTCATGATCGTCCAGGTGACGATAGACCACTCTGGCAGCTTCTCAAAGAAATCCAGCGTCTCGGAAATGTCCCCTTTCCCGGCATATGCAGAGAGCATCGCAGTCCAGTGGCTTGAATCCTTCTCGTGAATCGAATCGAAGATTCTTTTCGGAAAAGTATGGCCTTCCATGTTCCCGGATGACACGATCATCGCATTTTGGGAAATCAAGCTCCACCTAGGCATCTTTCTCATCAGCTCCTCTGCCAATTCAAAATCCCCAGACCTGGCATTTGAAGATATCATTGAATTCCACGACGCCTCGTCTCGTTGATCCATTCCATCAAACAGCTTCTTTGCCTCGCCAAGAAGGGAGTGATCCGAGAGCCCACTGATCATCGCATTCCATGAGACGACATTCTTCTCCGGCATCGATTCGAACAGCATCCTCGCCTGGTGGATCTCCCCGTTCTGGGCAAGCGCAGCAAGCATCGCAGTGGATGAGATCACATCAAACGCGGGTATGAGATCGAAAACTTGCCTGGCGATCGCGACATGCCCGCCCTGCGCGAGCGCCGCGATGATCACAGTCCAGGAGACAATGTTCCTGTGCGCCATTCGATCAAAGAACGACCTCGCCTCCCGCAAATCCCCGGCCCTGGAGCACGCCTTGAGAACCGCCGTGGCCGAGACAACGCTCTGCTGTGGCATTCGATCGAACACGTCCCGGGCCTGGAGAAGGCAGTCATTGTCGCCATAGGCGGAGATCAAGCTGGAGCACAAGAATGCCGTTCTTCCCCAGGCCCTATCAAACGCCGCCCGCGCCGCCTCCACCCAGCCGCATCGGCCATAGAACTGGACGAGAATGGCCGCCAGGAACGCATCGCGGTCGCGGCCGGCGCTGGAGATGTCGGCGTGGACGCGCCGTCCGCCCGCCAAATCCCTCGCTGCGCTACATTGCTGCAAGCGACGCGCGAAAAATTCCCTCATCCATGATTTTCAGTGAGACGTAAGCATATTTTTTGATCTTGGTCAATATTTAGGGTTTTGCGTTTATATATGGACGCTCAAGGGGTGAAAAATGGTCAACGGTCATAGTTTTGCATGGCGGCCACTTGGCGCGCTTCTTGATCGCCTAGGGTTTCAATCTATCCTCCGCGTTTGTTGGTCCGAGAAGATCGAGAGATGGCATCGCCTCAGCCCAAGCCCCCCGCCAGGCCACAGCATGGTCCCGCCGCTGCTGTGCCGCCGCCAAAGAAGCCGGATGATTTCGCAGGGCGCCGAATCTCGCCCAAGATCGCCGCCGCCAGGGCCGCGGCCGAGGCTTTCCACAAGAAGCACTCGCCCAACGTACTTCGCGAGCTCACAATCGGCCTGGCCTTAGGGTTCGCAGGTAACTGCCGTGGTGATGTTGTTCTCTCTGGATTCTTCTCTCCCAATCTGTGCAATGTAGGTGGTGCCCTCTGGAAGATCTATCACCTCAACTGGAGGAGGCACTGCGAGGAGTTCTACGTTGGGCTGGACAAGGGGATCTACACCACGGTCGTTCGTCCCAAGACCAAACTCGCAGTAGAAGCTTGATCCGATATATCGGAGGTTAGCTTTTGTTTCTCTTAAATTCCAGTCTATATCTATGAACGTTTCGGAAATCTTGGAGAGCTTTGAATTGTCTTTGTGGATCAAATTTAAGATTTGATCTTGTCATTCCAATCTCTTGACTTGTCTTTGATTCTATCGTTCAAATGCCTTGACTTTGTCTTTGATTTTGTCATTTTAATCTCTTGACTTGTTCTGACTGGCATCTTTTTCAGATTTTTGAATGTTTTGTAACGCAAACGATGCCAGAGATATAGGAATTTAGAGCAGCTTTGAATTGCTTGATCATCGTCCAGCTTTACAAACTTCTTCGCGTACGTTATAAGCAATCCTCCAAATCTCTCTAGCTTTGGAGCTCTTCCTCGGGCTCCTCCTCCTCGTACTCGTCATCGGCGCTCGCGTCCTGGTACTGCTGGTACTCGGACACCAGATCGTGCATGTTGCTCTCCGCCTCGGTGAACTCCATCTCGTCCATCCCCTCGCCTGTGTACCAGTGCAAGAACGCCTTCCTCCGGAACATGGCCGTGAACTGGTCGCTCACTCGCCGGAACATCTCCTGGATCGACGTCGAGTTCCCGATGAAAGTCGACGCCATCTTGAGCCCGTTGGGAGGGATGTCGCACACGCTCGACTTGACGTTGTTCGGGATCCACTCGACGAAGTAGGACGAGTTCTTGTTCTGGACGTTGATCATCTGCTCGTCCACCTCCTTGGTGCTCATGCGGCCACGGAACATCGCCGAGGCGGTCAGGTATCGGCCGTGGCGGGGGTCGGCGGCGCACATCATGTTCTTGGCGTCCCACATTTGCTGCGTCAGCTCCGGGACTGTGAGCGCTCGGTACTGCTGCGAGCCCCGGGACGTGAGAGGGGCGAATCCCACCATGAAGAAGTGGAGGCGAGGGAACGGGATGAGGTTCACCGCCAGCTTGCGGAGGTCCGAGTTGAGCTGGCCGGGGAATCTCAGGCAGCAAGTCACTCCACTCATGGTAGCCGAGATGAGGTGGTTTAGATCTCCGACTGGATCAAGAGAAAGAAAACTTCTTAGAAACAAACAACTATGGTAAGAGACCGAAGCTTACATGTTGGAGTGGTGAGCTTGAGCGTGCGGAAGCAAATGTCGTACAGTGCCTCGTTGTCCAGCACCATACACTCGTCCGCGTTCTCCACGAGCTGGTGGACTGACAGTGTCGCATTGTATGGCTCCACGACTGTGTCGGACACCTTTGGAGATGGAAACACCGAGAAGGTGAGCATCATCCTGTCCGGGTACTCTTCACGGATCTTGGAGATGAGCAACGTCCCCATGCCGGAACCCGTGCCGCCACCGAGTGAGTGACAAACTTGGAATCCTGTTTAGAAAGAAAGAAGAACGTGAAGAACAAACTATACAATTCAGATTTCTCCTTACCTTGCAAGCAATCACAGCTCTCGGCTTCCTTTCGGACGACGTCAAGAACTGAGTCGATAAGCTCGGCTCCTTCTGTGTAGTGACCCTTCGCCCAGTTGTTCCCTGCTCCAGTCTGCCCAAAAACGAAATTGTCGGGCCGAAAGATCTGCCCAAACACCCCCGAGCGGACGCTATCCATGGTCCCAGGCTCCAGATCCATGAGCACAGCTCGCGGGACATAGCGCCCTCCAGTCGCCTCGTTGTAGTAGACATTGATCCGCTCTAGCTGCAAGTCGGAATCGCCGTGGTAGCACCCCGTCGGATCGATCCCGTGCTCATCGCAGATCACCTCCCAGAACTTGGCACCGATCTGGTTGCCGCATTGGCCGCCCTGGATGTGGAGAATCTCACGCATGATGATCGGAGGCGCTGAAAAGAAAAGAAGCACGATTCCCGTTAGAAATCTCACAGATCTCCCTCCTCAGAGGATATTTCGATCGATCGAGCTCGTAGGTTGCGATCTTCGATCGAAATGTGGCCTACATTGGAGCGAATCGAGATACCTGGAGTGTCGAAGAACGCTTGGCGGCGAGGAAAGAACGGCTTGGCGCTTGGAAAAAGAGGGAAAGCCCTCGCAGCACCCACGCCAAATATATATCAGGCCGGCTGGATTTAGCCGGATTGGATTGAGGGATGGCGTCCGTCCATCGAATGTGATAGCGATGCTCACGTCCGGTGGAGAGGGAAAAAATATCCACTGGAATTTGAGGGCGGCGTGAGGTCCGGGCGGACGCTAGCCTGGCGGCAGGAATCGAACCTGAGATGTTTTGTCGTGTTTGCTCCCACCAAACTTCTCTTTTCCAATGGGAACGTGAGAGCAAACGCAGACACACAGGATAGGTGAGGTTTCACATCGATGTTGACACACATGATATCTCTTCCTTCTTTAAGTTTTTTCTACTCGGATTTTCAGATCACGGGGAGCTCTCGGGGACGAATTCTAGTGCTTTTATTTTCTTTGATTCAACGCTTGGCTTGCTTGTGATTTCAATGTAGGAGGGACATTACGATCATCAAATTGCACTTGAACTTTTCAAAAGCTTGATCCCATTGTGGTTTAAAACTTCCTTGCATGTGAGAGGTTGGGAGGTTGGGATTATTTGGGAGAGAGAAATGGAATGGATGACAGTGGAAACGAACCTGGAATTTGCTGTAATTGGCTCATCCTGTAAAAGGAATATGTATTGTTGCAGCAACTCTCAATACAAAAGAAACGAAAGATTACAAAAAGGACAATTTACTTGCAAATGAAAGATTCAAATCAAAACTATTTAAGCATGGCACTATCAAGTTGAAGATATGATTTTATATAATCTGGTGTTCTATACAGTAAAATAATTGTATGATACAGAATTTTTTTTTTCTGAAAGATAGAAAAAACCACTTATTTTTTCTGAAATAATTTATTAAATTATTTTAACCAAACCTATCTCTGTTGAAGGACTTAGTAATTAATTTATAAATATATTATTATTTCCATACTGTTGATCGTTATATTATAAATCTAATTGTTCCATTTATTTATTATATCAATTTTTATTAAAAAGTTAAAATTTATTTCTTTAAATACAACTATCTTCATTATTATAATATTATATATTTTAGTATATCTCAATCTTCATCACAATCACACAAAGAAAAAACTTTAGTTTAAATTATTTTTCATTAATAGTGAAATAAATTGTAGGATTAAGCAATTGATAAAAGTTAAAAACATTGTTTTGTAAATACTTAGTTAACATAAAAAAATAAGTTTGTAATATTTTTATATTTTTATTTATATTTTAATATCTCCCACTATATTCTCATTACCTTTTTTTCTGAAGTATTAATCATTATTTATATTACAACCTTAAAATGCATTAATTTTTTAATTAAAATAAAACATTAAAATTTGTAAAAATGTTTTAAATACTTTAAATTATAAAAAAGTATTTTTAATGAATGTAAACACTATGTTTGTTTCCTATGTTATAGCTGAAGCTGTCGAGCACTACGCAATTTAGGTAAGTTGTTATCTAAAAAATTATAAATAAGTGTTTAATTTTGTTAACTTCAACAAAATATATTTCATCTACTATAAACATATATTAAATATAAGTTTCAACTTAATTATTGTAAATTTTATTTTAATTAACTTAAAGGTGGGGATTTGAGTATGACATATTAAGTCTTAAGTATTATTAAAATTTATTATGAGATATTTTATTTTCTTGGGGGTTTATTTATTTTTCACTATGATCGTAAAAATAAAGGGTTTGATATCTTTAAAAATTTTTAGTTATATTTTATTTTGGTTTAATTCACAATATCAAATAAAATGACAATATGAAAATTGTTATAATAGAAATATTTTTACTAAAAAAAAGTAAAAACTCTCACCCACTTTTTTATTGAATTGATATAACTATTTTATTATTATTCTTATTTTATATATTTATATATAATCAGGTAATAAAATATTTTGTTTTAACTTGTGCTAATTTTGCACATTAATAATTAAATAATTAAATTTTTATTAGTTAAAGTGTATTAATGTTTCACAATTTTTACTTTAAAATACATTAATGAAATGAAAATTCTATTCATTATAATAAAATCTCGAGGTTTAGGGTTTTAGGTCCCAAGAATGTGGGCGAGAGCCCTTTGCCTGGCGATCGATGGAAATGCGGGGCTAGGCCGCAGGTTCTCCTGCTCCACGCGCATACACGCTTACGCCCAGGTACTCTCCGAATGAATTATTTGTAACCTTTGGATGTTCTAGAACTTAGGTAGTTCGCGAACGCATCTAGAGTTTATGTCATGGCTAAGAAGGCGCGGCGAAGATATGAACAGCATTGCTGTCGCCATTGGGATGTCTAAACACGGGAGGTATGGAGAAGAAGACTATCGTTTTCTTTTTGCCTTCTTCTTTTGACTCGATTTTGTTTTCGTGCAGGGCTTTGTTCGCTCATCGACCAATGTGTGCCGGCGAATGTATGATCAAGTTCTCACAAAATCTGGTATCTTTCACGAGAGATAACAGTAGCTCTTGCGCTCCAGGATATACAAGTGTTTTTAACTCCAAAGGCAGGTGCTTACTCCTGAAAAGCTTCCTTGCGAAGTGATTGCCTTGTTGGATCAAGCAAACGAGTTTACGCGGGTCTCACTTCTTGTCATGGCCGAGAAACGCAAAGGCCAGGTAATTGGTTCCTGTTTTTCTTTTTTCTTTTCTCTCTTCTACGTTCTTATCGTTAAAAATCTCCATGAAGAACTCGGCGTGGGCACCTTACATCGAATGTCTACCGTCCTTCGGTGAAATTCACAGCACTGTAAGTCCCGCTGCTGCTTGCAACTTCGTTAAACTTGGAAGTGTATGCATAGATCTTCTGGGACCCGAAAGAGTTGGCTTGCCTCGAATGCAGTCCTATACATCGTGGGACGGGCGAGAGAAACGCCCTCTTACAATCGGAGTACAGGGAAGTGAAAAAAGTAAGATAGGTTTCTCTAGTCTTGTCTGTGTTTTTCATCTTATACTACCAGGTTGTAGAGTCTTGTCCGCATTTATACGATCCAGATGTGTCGCTTGAACAGTTCAAGCACGAGTATGCAACAGGTTAGCTTCTCGAGCTAGATGATTTTCTTCCGTGATATTTTTTCTGTTCGTCTTCCAGTTTCTTCTCGCGCTTGGGGTCAAGGGCCTCACAGTGACATGACAATGGTATCTAAATCTTTCCTTCGAGCATGGACTGAAAGTTATCACGTTTGTTTGCAGATTCCTCTTGTCGATTTTGCCAATCACGATCCGCGGTCCCGGACACTCTTTTCACACGCAGACGACAATTGTACAGTAGTAAGGCTCTCCATTCTTTTGATGTTCTTTACCTCACAGATCCTTTTGGTGTGTCGCAGGTCGTAGCATCTCGAGACTACCAAACTGGAGACGAAGTAAGTGTAACTTAAGACACACATGTTTTTCCGGGCTAAGAGAACTTCCACCTCAAGGTTCACATTTGTTATGGTGACCATTCAAACGCAGTTTTAGCACTGGACTACGGCTTTGTTGTTCCCGACAATCCTTTCGACGAGGTTTTCCTGCTTCGATTTCTTGAAACTAGCTCATATATCTTTGCTTCGTTACAGGCTGAGATCTTCCTGGAGATCCCATCTGAAGACCCTCTTCGCGAGATCAAACTCCAGTACATGGCGCAAAACAACATGAACACATTGCGGGATTCGAATGGCACTCAAACCGGTGGACGGCCGTTCACTATAATGTAAGGTGGTAAGCATTTGCAAGATTTCTCCGAGTCACTCTCTAGTGGATTTTTTCGAACAGGGAGGTGACCAGCCGAGGCGGGAAAGAAGTGGTAGTTCCTTCCGCTGCGCGTGCGTTCGCTCGGATCATCACGTCGGATTCTTTGGCTGGTAAATGTTGCTGGAGCGTTTTCTCTCTTTTACATCTCTTGTTTTGCGCACTAGACTTGCAGGAGCTAAACAGAGAATCGGAAGTTTATGGCGTTGTGCCGTTCGCATCCCGGCCAAGGCATGACAGAAGAAAAGAGCAGCGAGCTACGAACTTACTTCTCGCTCTCATTGAGGCTCACGCGGATGAGCACAAAAGAGCAATCCAGGCAAGTTTCTTACGTTCAAGTCTCTAGTTTTCCTTAACTGGATTTCTATCCTAGAGTCTGGAAGCTACTGCTTTGAGACCAGAGCGCCGGTACATTGCCGAGTGTGTGTTACAAGGCGAGCTTTCTTTGCTATTGAAGGCCTCCACCTCAGAGATCGAGAGGTATGGAAACAATTCTTGAGGTAATTTATTCATTTGGTTACAATTTTGTTTGAATCCATACAATTGCAATGCTTAGTTCTTGTTTGTGGTGGTGTTGCAAGAACGATTGTCTCAAACTTCGTCCAGTGGTATTCTCTTTTGCCGGATCATTGTCGATCATCTTTTTGATGAGGTCCTGGAAAATAGATTTTGCGCGAGCATGAAATGCATAGCACATCGTTCTTGACAAGTGAAACCATCACTCTTTTAGATAGGAAGAATTATTCTAATTTGAATTGGTAAAGCTCACAAGTTGGTAAATCTCAGGCAAACCCGCGTGTTTGGCGGATAAACGTAGTCCGGGTGATTGAACGGAATGTCTAGCTCGATCTTGTTCCCGGCCAGCCACTCGGCAAACAAGTCCCCTCGGCTCTCGAGCCTGGCATAGACGAGATCCGTCCGGAACGGCGAGTCGAGCTCCTCGAGCGCGCTCCTCACCGCCAGCGCGCTCCTCGTCTCCCTGTGCTTGCCAAACCCCGTCACCACCGTCGCCATGGCCGGCCTCCTCGCCGGCTCGTTGCGGAGCTTCTCCCTGCTGATGAGCAATCCCTGCTTGAGCCCCACAAGCGCCGTGCCTTCGTCCATGTCCACCAGCCATATGAACCAGTGATCGTTCGCGTTCTCCCACAGGTTCCTCCGGAAGAGCCGGGTGGCGGCCGCCGCCGCGAAGATCTCGTGCGCCTCCGCCTCGTAGCCATACGTCTGGAGGTAGTGGACGAGCGCGTCCGCGAACTTGGACGCCCACCCCGACCTCTCCAGCCTCAGGCTGTCGAAGAAACGCTGTGACACCCTCCGGAGCTCCTGGAGCGGGACTTTGCCTCCCAGGACGTCTTCCAGAAACTTATCCGCCGGGTGCCCCGTCTTGCGCATGTAATCCCGCAAGAGATCCACGTACTCCTTGCAGCACTCGCAGTAATAGTTGAAGAGGTACGTGTAAGTTTGTAGAGTCGCCTTGACACCCCACCCCGGCATCGCGTCGAGAATGCCTGCCACTGGCTCCAAGTCGAGTGCTTTGATGTAAGCGTCGATGAGAGCGTTGCACATCTCGGGACTGGGAGTAATCCCCCGGCTCCTGGCCTTGTCGAACCATTTCTTCGCATCAGGAGCACACCCCTGCCTGGCCCAAGCGCTGATGATCGTGCAGTATGAGAACTTGTCCGGGACCAGGCCGGCCTTTTCGATGTCCTCCACGGCCCACTCGGCCTCCCGGCAGCGACCCGCAAGGCCGAAGAAGAGAATAGCGTTGTTGTAGACGTATAAGTCCGGCGGCAAGTTGGAGTTGAGGTACTCGCAGTAGATCTTCTCGGCGAGCATGAAGTTGAGCGACTTTGCGTACATGTTGAGGACGATCGCGTAAGTCACCGTCGAGGGACGGATGCCGCAAACTTTCATGTAGTCGAGAGCCTCGTCGGCCAGGCCCAAGTCTTTCCACTTGCTGAAGTTGGCGATCATGCTGTTAAAGACGTACTCGTCGGGCTTGAGCTTCCTGGACTGTAGCTCGAGGAAGAGCTTCCTCACTTCGCTCACTCGCCCAGCTTTCCCCAGCAAGTCGATGAGAAGAGCATACGTGCAAACGTCCGGCTCGAAGCCAAAGTCCGGAAATTCCCTGAACAAGTCCATGGCGTCGTCCATCCGATTTGCAGAGCCGTAGCACTTTATCATGTTGTTCACCGTGACGAGATCCGGCTTGAGGCCCTTCTCACGCATCTCGTCGAATAGTTTTCGACCCTGTGTGTAGTTCCCGCAAGTTCCCAGCACCCGGATCATCATCGAGTAGTTCATCGCGTCGTGCTTGAAGAAAGGGACCGACTTGGCCCATGTAAAAAACTCGAGAGCCACTCGCCAGTCTCTGACTCGCTTGAGCACCTCGCACACCTGGTAAGGAAGAATCTTGGCGTGCTTGAACTTCTCCAGTGTCGCTACTTTGTCTTTGTTCCAAGTTCCTCCAGCGTTGAGGATCTCGGACAAGCTCGCAACGATCACTGCTCCACGCCCAGGAATAAGCGGAGGAACCTCGTAAGTTGGCTTCACGACCGCCAGCTGAGTGGTAGTACCACCACTCTCCACGGCTTCTAACTGCGACGGTGAAGAGGCTTGTACCTCGCTAGGATGATCCTCAAACCGTGGAACCAGCTTCTTGACGTATCTCTGGAACCTGTCAAACCGCCGGTCCTCTCGAGCTGACAATTCTTCCTCCGTCCTTGGAGCTTTTTGTCTCGCTCCTTCGTCCTGTTCCTCTTCTACCCCTTCTTCTTCTCCCTCCTCCAAGCCACTCTCTTGCTGGTGATCTTCACTGCGACTTGGATTGTCCATCTCCTCCGGCAGCACTCCGGTGTATACAGCATTCAAGTTCCTGGGTCGCTTCACCCACAGAGAATGGAAAGGTGGCGGTTGTATCCTCTTGGGCTTCTTCCTCCTCAATCGCTTCAAAATCTCTGGCGATCGCCAGGGGACCCTCTCCTCCTCGTCATCCGACTCTGGCAAGCCTTGCACCCGCCGGCTATATCTCTTCTCCACCTCACTCATATTCTCGGCCACCTTCACAGCCTGCTTCTCCCTCTTCTCCTCCTTGTAGAGCTCCATAAGAATGTAGTCGCGCTGCCAGCGGCGGAGCTTATCGGGGGCCTCGCGGCTCCACTTGTGTCTCGCGTTCTCGGCCTCCACGACGCTCACGTCGTGCCGGATCGTCGCCATGAGCCTCGCGTGTTCTTCCAGCTTCTGCTGCCGCGTCCGGTATGGGAATGGCATGTTGGCGGAGATGAGGCAATTGTCACGCTCGGTCGGCCCTCCAGGCATCGCTCGCGTGCTGATCATCCGCAGCTCATCCAATCCTTGCTCCTCCAGGAGCTCCGCCGCCGGCATTGCCTGCCACTGGTAGATTGGCGGCTCCCCAACTAGCTCTCGCTTGCGCCGCAGCTCGTGATGGCCCCCCGCCCTCTTCCACTTCCTCTTCTCCGCCTTGGTCATCCTCTTCCTCGTCGTGTCCACCGTCTCCGGGAACTCTTGGCGGGCCTCTTGCTGCCGCCGCGCTCGCCTCGCGGCCAGATGCTCCCGCCGCCGCCGCTCGATCAAGGATTCCTGCGGCTGCTGCTGCTGCTCCGACGCCGGCCATTCCCGGGGCGATCGCGCTGCCGAGTCGTGGAGGAACTGGCGAGAAATCCTGGAGCGTACCTGGCGGCTCGAAATTTCCCTCAGCCATACCCACATCCCACATTCTCGCTCAAACCCTAAATTCTGGAATATGCTCCATTTACATATTGTCACCTTTATAATCTAATCTTCAGTTTAGGACACGTTGCCCTAAACTACCGGGAAGTTCTAAACCCTAATCCCTCTATTCTTCCAAAAAACTGGATCACGCAGCGCAACGTCTCAAGCATTCGTTTTTGTTGAGGTCCAAGCGTCTTAAAGAGGAGCTCGAGGTCTTCATCTGGGTCTTCGAGCCTGCTCTTTTGATCGAAGGGCCAACGATCGTTCTTCCCATTTCTGTCAGGCCCACTTGTTGGTTTGCCGGAGACGCCTCTTGGTTCCACTCTTGCCAGGAACTCCTCGCTTGCTCTTGCATTTGCCGTAGAAGAGCGTGTTCCCTCCTCCAGCCATGTTGAGCCTGGGCGTCACAAACCTCTTCTTCTTCTTCCCTTTGCCATCTTCTTCTTCCCTTTCGGATGGTTCTTCGTCAATCGCGGCATCGGCACTAGCGGCGGCAGCGGCAGCCTCGGCCTCTTGGATCAGAATCGGCTTGGTCTGCGCGAGGCCTCGCCGCGAAGCCATGCGAGAGACGTACGCATGGAGGACCTCCTTGTGGAGCTCCGGGGGGACGTTACCACACTGGAGCTTGAAGAGGAACCTGTTCATGGTCTGGAGCTCCCGCTTCCAGTAGAGGCAGAGATCGTTCTCGAGCTTGTGGTCGGGCTTGTTGAGGAGGTACTCGTCCAGCCCCCCGGCCTTGTCGATGCAGCGGAGGGCGTGGGTGGTGACGTGCACGCGGATGAATCTGTCAAGGCTGAAGCTGTAGAGACGCTTGAGCCGAACGTTGGGTTTCCATGTCCGCCGAGTCCTGCGAAGGAAGAAAAGTTTGAGATCATCAGCCTTTGTGAGAAATATGAAAGAGCTACAATCGGAATGACTAGCTAGCACTGATAATCGTCAAAGGTAAACCAAGCAAAAGGCCGATCAACTTAGATGGTTCTGCTAAACAATGCAAAGAATGCCACACACGAACATAAGCGAGACTGATAGGGATCAAAAGTACTCTTTTGATCGTCAAGAGCGCTTTTAGAAATCCTCCTAGCATCAAAACCAATTACTCGAAGATACACTACCAATGCACACTAGCACAAATTCAGCCAGAAAGCAGAAAAAAGAAGGGACAAGAACACAATGCCAAAACTTCCAAAAGCACTCTTCTGATCGTCAGGAAATCCTTTAGAAATCCTCCTAGCAAACGACAAATCTTTACTCCAATGCACACAAGCAACAGCCACACAAATTCCAGAAAGAAGAAAAAAGAAGACCAAGAACACAATGCAGGGCTGTTACTTACTTGTTACCCCCCTTCTCGCTCACTTTGTTCCCAAACTGGATGTGGCGACCAGCGAAAATGCCACGCTTGGCCCGGCCCATGATGATCTTCTCGCCATTCAGCACAACCCTGGCCCTGTTACTCTTCATCCGGTTGCGGCACATCTTCTCCGCCGCCTTGAGCAGCTGATCCTTCCAGAATCCCGATCTCGGCATCGAGGCGTCGTCACATAAACCCTAGAAATATTTTGACAAGAAATTTAGGGCTCTTCCCATCTGGTCGAGAATGAAGTACCAGATCTCCCAGACGGCCTACGTCAAGCTCGCGCTCCACGCCCTCAAGCACAGATCGGCAGCTGTGAATGGGATTCTAGTCGGCAGAGTAAGCGGCGGGGGCGGCGGCGGAGGGGCGGAGGAGGATTCCGCCGCTACCGTCTCGATTGTGGACTGTGTGCCCCTCTTTCACGGTCAGCTGGGTTTGCTTCCCATGCTAGAGCTTGCTTTGACACAGGTAAGCGATTCTTCCTCCAGAAAGAATGGTTTTTTTCTACTTTTGATCCTAGATCGAAGAGTATTTTTCCTCCCATCAAGAGGGTCTTAGCATTGTTGGATGCTACCATGCGAATGAGCGATTTGACGACTACGATCTGAGTGGAATCCCTCGAAAGATTGGCGATCACATTGCTCGCTATTTCTCCTCGGCTTGCGTCCTTCTGGTGAGGCTATGATCCTTTGTTTTTCCTTCTGCCTCGTGCTAGAAATTTTCTAACTTCTCTTCAGCTAGACAACAGGTTGCTAGAGTCTCTCGCTAAAGCCGGAAAAAAACCGGCTGTCCAGGCAAGTTTCGTCGATCCTTGTCATGTGGCTTTGAGCTGAGATTGAAGAGTTCTCACAGCTTTTTACACGCGATTCCTCTCGAGGATGGCGCTCGGCACCAGGAAGCAGTGATCTCGTCCTCGCCGAATCCACCGCGAACGAGATTCTCTACGATTACATCCTGGAAGGGAGGGAGCAAAGTGTCACAGACTTTGACGATCATTTGGACGATATAAGCAAGTAAGACGAGATGGTTTCATTTGTAGCTATCAAAATTTTTACAAAATTTTTCAGGGATTGGTTGAACCCAGGCTTGTTCGATTGATCAGCAAAAGTACTACAAATTTATAAATGGCCCATAAAAAAAACTCCTTGTTGCGTTGTCAACGCTCGGTCAATGTGGTCAATGAGGTCAACATTTTTCTTGCATGAGATAGTCCGCCAGTAGACTATAGGCCGTGGGCCGTGGACCGTGGACTCTCCCTAATAGTGTTGGTGACAAAGAAGCACGCAGCCCTGGCGATGGCGGCAGCCATGCTCTTCCCGATTTCCTCGCCCGGATTCTCCCACTGGCGAATTGGGCGCTGCGATTTCCAAGAGCGCAACCGCAGCGTCAAGCTAAAATCGTCCAATGCGGCCCATCCAATCGCCGCCAAGGTAAAGCTCCAGCTCCAGTTAATCGATCCTTAGTTTTCTCCTCCTCTTTTTGAAGAACAACGGCCAATTGGATGGCGATCGCGCCGGGAAGGACGCCAGAGATGTCTTGGGCGGCGATCCAGCTGCTTGCTGCTCTCGGTGTGGATCCAGTGGCTCTGTGCAGTGCTTGACATGCTCGGGGACGGGACTGTACGTGGAGTCCATTCTAGAGAGCCAAGGGATCATCGCAAAAGTCCGATGTTTGGGTAAGCCTGGGACTCTTTTCTCGTTCTCGAGGATCTATTGCCTTGTCCAATCACAGGTTGCGGTGGCGCTGGAAGAATCATGTGTCCTCAATGTGGAGGGCGATGCCATGCTTGAAGATCTCCCATCTTTTTGTAAATAAACCATGGTTTTGCTAGAAATCTTCTCAAGAGATAACTATCAAGTTTTTTCTAGCGAAGAATAGTTTTTCGATCACAAGCTAAAGCTTGAGATAACATGGCGACGGGTGTGTCTTATCCACACCGACCACGTGGCAGCGTTGCTTCCCATAGCCTGGCTCTCTTTCCAGCGTTTAGGAGAGAGCTCGTATAAGCAAACCAGAGATCACTGCGAATATGCCGCAGATGTTAGATGAATTATTGTCAACCACAATTTCCCTTGGTCGCGGCTTCAAGATAGTGTTCTCCTTCCAAGTTTTTCCTCTCTTCCTCTTTTTTTCTTCTTCTTTGGTTGAAGGAAGAGGGCGATGGTGAACATTGAGGAGATCACCAATGTCACCGAGTATGAGGAGCTCGCCAAGCAGCGGCTGCCCAAGATGGCCTTCGATTACTACGCTTCCGGCGCCGAGGATCAGTGGACGCTCAAAGAGAATAGAACCGCCTTTGAGCGAATCAGGTAAATTCTCTCGAGCTGGATTGGGTGATTTCGATCGGTGGCACTCGAGGCTTGCCTGCGCTAGGCGGTGATTTTCCTTCTCTGAGATAATCCTCGCTGGGAATTTGTTCGTCGTAGGTTTCGTCCACGAATCTTGGTGGACGTGACGAATGTGGATATGACTACCACCGTGTTGGGTTTTAAGATCTCAATGCCCATCATGGTTGCGCCGACCGCGTTTCAAAGAATGGCCCATCCAGAAGGTAGAAAAACTTTTGTGAGATCAAGCTTCACAGTTTATGTAAACGATCGTGTATCATCTAGGTGAGCTTGCAACGGCAAGAGCAGTATCATCCCATGGAACTATAATGGTAACTTATCTCAAGAACTTGTTTTAGAACTTTGAGCTCGAGAAATTCTTCGCTCACTTTGGCTGGTGGTTTTTTCTCAGACGCTCTCGTCTTGGGCTACTAGTAGCGTGGAGGAAGTCGCGTCAACTGGTCCAGGAATTCGATTCTTCCAGCTTTACGTGAGTAATTTCTTTTTCTTTTTCTTGGTGGGAAACTTAGCTTTTTCTGTGGTTTTTCTTTTCTCTCCAGGTTTACAAGGATAGAAACGTTGTGGCTCAGCTGGTCCGACGAGCTGAGAAAGCTGGTTTTAAGGCCATTGCATTAACAGTAGACACGCCAAGGCTTGGACGAAGAGAATCGGACATTAAGAACAGGTAATCTCTTCAAGTTTTCAATGTGTTCATGATTTCTACACTCGCGGCTTTCTTTGCAGATTTGTTCTACCGGGTCACTTGACCCTTAAGAACTTCGACGGACTGGATCTCGGGAAGATGGACAAGGTAATAGTCAAAGAATTGGGAAGAAGCGCTAGAATTTGGTTTATGGTTACAGTCTCAAGATTCTGGACTAGCCACCTACGTTGCGGGACAGATCGATAGATCTCTGAGCTGGAAGGTGAGAACTCTCTTTGCAAACTATTTTGCTCTTTGTAATGGAAGTCTTCCCGGAACAGGATGTCAAGTGGCTGAAAACAATCACTAGCCTTCCCATCCTCGTGAAAGGAGTTATAACAGCCGAAGACGGTGAGCGAAAAGAAGAGAGAAATTCAAAAGAAGTTCGATCGGATTTTTCTTGGCTATGATGCAGCACACATCGCTGTGGAGGCTGGAGCAGCCGGGATCATCGTTTCAAACCATGGAGCTCGACAGCTCGATTACGTGCCGGCAACAATCAGCGCGCTGGAAGAGGTAATCAGGTTCTCCCTGGAAACTGAGATGAAATGATGAAATCTGCGCAGGTTGTGCAAGCTGCCGCTGGAAGAGTTCCCGTGTTCTTGGACGGAGGCGTTCGCAGAGGAACTGATGCTCTCAAAGCCTTGGCGCTTGGGGCTGCTGGAGTTTTTGTAAGAACTATAAATCTCTTCTTTTTTCCATTTTGCTTGCTAAGTCTCTTCCATGATCTTGTTGCTCTAACTTTTTTTCTGTCTATAGATCGGAAGACCCGTCGTGTTCTCTCTCGCCGTTCACGGCGAAACTGGAGTGAGAAAAGTCCTCCAGATGCTACGCGACGAATTCGAGATTGCAATGGCGCTGGCCGGGTGCACCAAAGTGAGCGAGATCAACAGGAGTCACGTTGAGACAGACATTGATAGAATCCGCATCGCTGCCAGGCTCTAGTTCTCTCTTTCTCTCTGTCTCACTATAAACAGTATCGATCGTGTTTCACAAGTTAAACAATGGCATCTAATAATTACTTGTGATATTGTTCGATGAATGATTGAATCATTATACTTCTTATAGTTGTGAGCAGTTAATTATTCAAATGATGATCAACCCTAAAGTAGTGATGTTAATCTACTTGAATGGAACATTCTTTGGAGCCGAGGATGTCCAGTCCCTCCTTGCTGTTGAGCAGCGGTCTTTGCCCATGTCACTAGATTTATTTGACCGGGTGGCTGGCACATGTCGACCGGCTTCTGCCCGACAGTAGCCCCAGTAGCACGACCCCGTAGCGGTAGACATCGCTCTTCGTCCGGTCATTGCGTACTCTGGAGCTACGTAACTGCGGCAACCAGAGCCCAGTTTCTCGGATGACAAGGAGCAAAACTACGCTTTTGAAAATCACTGCTTACCTGAATGTTCCTATTACTCAGTAGAAATGTGGTTCATCTCGTCAAGATCCACAGAGATGTTTATGCTAGGCACAAGCATATGCATGCATTCAGTGAAAGACAAAAGGAATACTGCTCGCGTGAGTGGCATACCCAAGACAATAGAATGCTACTACCAAGCATGACAATGCCAAACAATAAAAAACAAGCACCATTTCTCCAGGCTCCAGCGCATCAGCAATCCGCTTCTTTGTGAGCCTGATATCTCGGGAAATGTCGTGCTCGGAAACTTCTTTATCTTTTGTCGTGAGGCGTTCAAAGTGTCTACCTCCGCACTGTCAAGCCATGCGTCCTGGAAGAAAGGAGGGAAAAGGGAAATCAAAGCCAGGAGAAAGACTTTCTCACATACTAGAGCCTTGAAATTGGTCGCGTCCACATAATGGCCCATCGTAGTATTTCTTCTCTTTCGCATTTAAGTTGAATGGCTCCATCTTAGCTCAAACAGGTAACAAGGAAAGGATCGCTAACCATCTGTGCACTACGCAGGCAACAACGCCATCTAAGCATCGCCTCAGAGAGAGAAATCACTCCATTGAACTAGTTGATATTACATTAATGATGTCGCAGAAACGAGCTTAGAAGTGTTGGTACTGGAATCTCCTCTCTTTTGAGCTCCTTCCTTGAGAAGGCCTTGGTGTGGGGTGGAAAAAGACCATCTTTGCTGTGTTTCAACTTTGTTGTACTGGGTGTATTTATAGTTGATAGTGGAAAGAATGTGGCCTTCAATCTTGTTGCTCTTTTGGGGGTTGGGTAGTTTTTGAGTTGAGCTCAAGTTAATGAAAATCAATGAAAGTCAAAGGAGGTTAATATAATCCCCTAACTACCGAAAGTTTAATGGCATTACCTTTGAACCAAGAATTTTTTTTATATAAAATCTAGATGTTTAAGGTATTTCATAAGCTCATGTAGATTATTGGTTCGACACAAACTAATCTTTTAGTCTACAAAGAAAGAAAATAATATATTAAAAAAACATAATTTGTGAGTGCATGGAATATGGAAAAGGAATACAGAAATGTGCATCTCAATTAACCCAAAAACCCTAGCTTATATACAGGAGCGAGTGGTCCGGATTGAAACCAATCCGACGGCTACCAAAATCCACTACGCTAATATTAGTATACGGCATCGTAGCCGTACACTTGGCCCTCACATCATCCCCTCCTCTCGGAATAATGGAAGGCCGTCAGGGTTCTCTTGTAGATGGGCCGGGATCTGGAGGAACGTCAGGAGGAGGCATCGGTGGATCTGTAGACGGTATTAATTGCTCTTGATCCCTTTGTATGAAGCGTTTTAATCGCTACACATGCACAATCTCCGGAGGATCGGCCTACTGAACGTCATGCCGAACCTCATAAACTTGTGGTCCAACTTGCCGCAACACCCGATACGGTCCTTTCCACTGCGCAAGGAGCCCCTTAGATAAACCACGTACCGTAAGATGGGGAAAACGGACTAACACCAAATCATCCACTTTGTACTCCGCTGGTGGACGATGATGGGAATTGTAGCGCCGTTGTTGTCCCACTTGTACGCGGCCTAAGTGTTCAGCAGACTCTGCTCGGACAAGTGGAAGAATGCTTGTCAAATATTGATCCCATGACCTAGCATCAGGAGCTCATGGTAATCGCGAAGGTAAACCCAGCTCTGTTGGTAATATTGGATCATGACCATATAGAAGTTTATATGGTGAAGCACCAATAGAACTCTGCACCCCTGTGACATAAGCATACCGAAGAGACGGCAAATAACCATCCCAATCCGAATGTTGAAAGTTCACATACTTCGCAATCATCCCTTTGAATGTCCGAACGAGCCGTTCCACCAGACCGTCTGATTGTGGATGATAAGCACTCGTAAAAGTGTGGTGTATCCCCAACCGAGATGTCAAAACATGAAATACCTCAGCCATAAATGTAGGACCATTATCCGAAAGAATCCGTTCTGGACAAGAATGCTGGAACACCACTCGATTGAGGAGGAAGTATCCAACAGCAGTTGTAGAGGCACTAGCAAGAGCACCAACTTCCACCCAACGAGTCAAGTAGTCAGAAGCAATAATAACATACTCATTGCCAGCAGTCAATCGCGGAAAAGGTCCCATAAGATCAAACGCCACCAACTCAAATGGACGAGAAACTGCAATTGACTCCAACCGTCCTTCCGCAGCACAAGGGGGAGTATTACGAGCTTGGCACCAAACGCAGCTACGCACATACCGAATAATATCACGTCGCATCTCTGGCCAATAAAAAGATCTGCGCAGCTTCTCAGTGACACGACGGTGTCCCATATGCCCACCTAGAATAGGAGAATCATGGTAGGCATGGAGAAACCGCGGAATAAACACCGAAGGCACCACCAGCCGTAAATGAGCATCAGGATCTGTCCCCACAAAATAAAGAAGGCCATCTTCAAGGCGATATTGAGAATGTAAATGCCGAAAAGGCAAGTCATCAGCAAGTGATGCAGGATTCTCAAACCCATCTCGAAGCCTTCGAATCCACGGCTCAATCTTTTGAGCCTCGCAAACCTCATCCAGAGAAGGTAGATCTTGCTCTACGCCCTGTGGACACTGAACGTCAAGGACAGCAACCGCCGACGGCACAGAATCCTCATCTAGAAAATCCACAGATGCTGGAACAACAGGTTCGTCAGAAATATGAGAAGTGAGTGGAGAAGGAAGAGGAGCTCGAGAAAGGGCATCAGCATCAGCCATAGAACTCCCTGGGCGATGAACAACATCGAAATCATATATCTGAAGCTTCAAAGCCCATTGAGCCGTACGACCAACCAGGTTCTTCTGCTTCAATAATGAAGTAACAGCAGCATGGTCACCTTCAAGTAACGTCCGAGAACCATGTAGATAGGCATGAAGTTTCTCGAAACCCCAGACTACTGCTAAACACTCCTTCTCCGTCGTGGAGTAGTTCATCTCCGCTGGTTGTAATGTACGGCTTATGTATGCAATGGGATGGCGCTGACCAGGCACACTCGAGCTCTCTTGCATCAACACACCTCCAAGACCAATGTCAGAAGCATCCACGCGCAAAATAAAAGGTCGAGTGTAGTCAGGATATGCCAAAACCGGAGGAGTCGTCAATAGCTCTTTGAGATTCACGAACGCCCGCTCACAATCGGGAGACCAAATGAAAGATGACGTTGATGACTTCAGCAATGCTCGCAATGGTAAAGTGCGATCGGAAAGATGATCCACAAAACGACCGAGATACTGCACCTTACCCAAAAAACGCTGCACATCATTCACACACTTCGGAGTAGGGAACTTTAGAACAGCCACAAGTTTGTCAGGATCAACTTGCAAACCCTCACGAGAAATACGGTACCCAAGATAAGTTGTGTCCTTGGACCCAAACACACACTTCGACCGCTTCAGATTTAAACCAACGTCGCGTAGCTGATCCAACACTTTACAAACATCACGAACATGCTCCTCCCACGTCCCCTCCGAGTGGATCAAGACATCATCAATGAAGTCAGCCGTCACCTCCGGCATATCGCAAAGAACCTCGTCCATCATCCGCTGAAAAGTTGCTGGAGCATTGTTCAAACCAAACGGCATCACCAAAAACTCGTACAAACCAAATGGTGTACGAAAAGCAGTCTTAGGAATATCGTCTTCAGCCATCGGTACTTGCCAATACCCAGAAGCAAGATCTAGCTTGGTGAACCAATGACTTCGCCCCAGACGATCCAAGAGATCAGCAGTGTGAGGAAGAGGGTACACGTCCGGGATCGTCACTTCATTTAACGGACGATAGTCGATGCAGAAACGAATACTCCCATCAGGCTTCGTCACAAGATGAGGTTCACATGCCCAAGGACTCCGCGACTTCCGAATAACACCCTTCTCCAACATCTCTTTGACGTTTGCACGTAAAATCTTGATCTCCTTGGGTGACCGATGACGAACAAGAACCTTGATTGGACGAGCATCCCCGGTTGGAATGGGATGACGTGTGGCAATCTTGGCCCCAGACGATAGGTCAAATTCAAAGAGATCAGAATACTCCTTCATGAGCCATTCAATTGCTGCAACACAAAGATCATCGGAGGGATTGGAAAAGGGAAGAGCAGAACAAGATGGAAACACAAGAGGAAATAATGGGGGAACAAAAGTAATGGAAGCAGAGGTAGAAGTAGAGGGACGAAGAGGTACGGAAGTGAGAGGAATGGATGAAACATAAGGAAGTATGAGACAAGGGGGAAAAGCCTCAAAGTCACACTTGGCATGATTGTGCTGCAACCAATCCATACCAAGAATGAGGTCAAAAGCTTGACTCGGCACCACCCGCAACGACTGCAACTCAAGCTCGAGATCACCCACACGCACAACCAGGTCTGCCTCATCTCGTGCACATGCATGTGTGCGGCCGTTGCCATAAAGAATGAAAACTGGATCCGCCGCACGACGCAAGTGTAGACGACAACGTGTGGCAACAGGTTGAGCAATAGAAGATAAACTCGAACCTGTATCAACCAACACAGAGAGAAGAATAGAAGACCTCATGTTATAAAATCGAGCTTGGAAAGTAAACACTGGATGAACCGGTGCCGAGTGAACCCCTTGATGATACTCCCGAAAGAAAGATGGAGGGGTCACTAACTTATTTGCGCAAGGTCCCTCCATTACTCGCGCGACTCCTCGTTTCCCGAATGCACCTTGGTATCCAAACCTTCCACCGCAGCAGCACCAACGGGACGTTGCTGACGCCAAAGTCTCCACCCAGGAAATGGAGGTCGCCAATCCGGAAAGCGCCGACAACGCCGATAAGTATGACCAACTTCATCACACGCCCAGCAACGAATGTCACGGCCACGACCACGTCCTCGCCCTTGTCCTTGGACTCGAGTAGCAACAGCATCAACCTCCATGGGAACAGGACCATCACTCATAGGAAGTGGAGCTGAAGGACGTGTAGCAAGAAGTGGAAGAGGCGACGTCTCATAACGTTGTGCCAAGCGAAGAGCATCGTCAAGAGTGGCAGGAGCAAGTGCATGCACAAGTCCGACAAGATCTTGACGAAGTGCTGGCCACAGCATTCCTAGCTTGATCCGCTCCGACATATTTGGCTCCGCACGAAGCAAAAGACTTCGGAAACGAACACCAAATTGCATCACTGACTCAGATGGCCCTTGGCGAAGACGATGCAATTGTTGGAAGGCATCATCACAATCGTCGGCGTGTCCGAAGGTGCGTTTGAAGACGTCCGGAAGAACACTCCAATCGCCACGAGTAGCTGCGCTCAATCCATTGTACCACTGCAATGCCGTCCCTTGAAGACATGTGGGGAACTCACGCAAATGTCGAGCATCATCCCAAGAATGATATGTGGCAATCACCATGAAGTGATCGAACCAATGGTACACATCATCCCAGGATTCCCACGAAAGAACTCCGGCCGAACGCGAGGATTGGCACCAAAAGCAGGAGGAGTTGTACCATGTGCCGTGAACGCCGCCATCAATTGAGTTTGGTTGTTCAATTGCAAGCGCATAGCATCAAGCAATTGAACCAACTGTTGCTCTAGAGTCAAAGGAGGAGATTACGGATCGGCCATGAAAATGAAGGAGAAAGAAAGAGCAAAAGAAGAGAAATGACAAAAAGCTGGAAAGAAATGGTAGATCTAGACAATGCAAAAAGCTAGATCTAAACCAAAATCCTGAAAGGAAAGAACAAAAGAAAGGAAATGGAAAAAGTTAGATCTAGACAATGCAAAAGCTAGATCTAAACTGAAATCCCACATCCAAGCACTCCCCAGGGACAATCAAAGGTGCCCCTCACCTCCACCAATGTGAGTGCATGGAATATGGAAAGGGAATACAGAAATGTGCATCTCAATTAACCCAAAAACCCTAGCTTATATACAGGAGCGAGTGGTCCGGATTGAAACCAATCCGACGGCTACCAAAATCCACTACGCTAATATTAGTATACGGCATCGTAGCCGTACACTTGGCCCTCACAAATTTATATTAAAATCAGAATATATTCAATCTTGTTAACAAAATAATATTAACATTATAATAGCTTTGACTAAATTTTGATAAGTGATCCTTTATTTTAAATTAACACTTGTACTTTAGATTGAATTTGCCCATGATAAAACTTATAACATTCATGTGTTATAATTTAATGGTGAATTTGTTGGCACTTGAAGTAAGTTATTAAATAAGGAAGTTATGTAGTTGAAGCATTAAAATTACAAGCACCTGTATTAGTAAAAGTGGTATTTCTATGTCAAATAATTAAGTTTTTTTCTTAAAGCTTATTTTTCATCTATTTTTCTTATTAGTATTTTAAATTGTATTAGATTTGAACGTAATTGAAGAAAACTTTTAGTGTGATATGAATATCAGAAGACTTTACCTTTATAATCAAGTGAGACCAATCAACTTACACATTATCAGAGAGGGTGAACTTGATTATCTCCTTCAACTAATATATAATACATGTTTTTGAGGTCTTGCAGCCAGACGCAGTGATGACTTTATTAGTGCAATCAACACTAAATAGCATCTGTCAAAGGGTGTTAAATCTACATGACAATCTAAACATGCCAATGCTTCTTCTGTCTCAATCTACGATGAAGATGGTACCATTGTTGCATGAATATAAAGGGAGAAAGGTGGCAGAACATTCCACTTCCTAGTAGTGATTGTTTTCAGCCACTCTTACAAAGAGCAAAATAGTTTACGACAATGCTGGTAAAACGGACCAGCTGAGCCACAACGTTTCTATCCTTGTAAACCTGGCGAGAGAAAAAAAAAAAAGCAAGCGTCTGGAAGAAAAAAACACCCAGCAAAAGTCTGAATTTTGTTGAGCCAAAACAAGTTTCTGAGATAAGTGACAATTATTAGTTCCACTCGCTCACAAAAAGCTTGTGTCCCACTAAGTTTCGTGGACGAAAACGTACAAGCAGCGAGAACTTACCTGACTCCCTCAAAGGCCCAGCTCGACTCGGCCAGCGTCTTGTCGCTTCACCCTACGTGCGTCTCCAGCTCGAGCGGCATTCTTCTGGCACCGCCCGGGCTCCGTTCATGGATGTAGAGTTAACAAGTCCTTGGGCATGAAATCTTCCAGGAGATACACACCCTTCTCTGCTTTCTCCAGTTTCACGCCCAAGTTCTTGCAAAACAGTACATCTTGGCCTGGAAGTAAGTTACCACGATCAGCACAAGGATTGAAGATAGCTCACTCGCAATCTAATTAACTTACAGTCTTGCCTCCAGTACTCGCGAGGAAGCAAATAGTCGTTCTTGTAGTGATCCTCGTAGATCATCTGAGAAAACCGCGTAAGCTTTCCACAAAAGAGAGCACTATACTCACGTCAACCAGGTAGATGATCATGTCGTTGATCTGACTCATCCGTGTTTCCAGCGCAGGTTTGTGAACTTGATACCGCCCATTCCACGCTCTAGCTCGTATCCCCTGGAGCTCTTCCAGCGAGCACTCGAGCATTCCCGATTCCTTCCAGCGACAGTTCTCGCACAGGCTCACAAAGACACCGCGGAATGCTGCTCCGAAAACGCTGGCTGCCGCATCGTAAAGCTCCTCGCACCTGTCCCCCTCCTCGTCGTCGGCAGCTCCCTGGAGGCTCCACTTAACGTGCTCCACGAACGACTTGGTGGTGACCCCGCACAGCTTCTGGAGCTCCGCGTGATCACTCTTGCCTCTCGTCGTCAACGTCCAGGTGTAGAGCAAGCGGCCCATTGTCTCGCTCTCGTCACTGTACGGGTGGAAGTCCCATCGTTGCTTTCGGTAAAGTCGCGAACGATTTGTGAGCCAGTCTTCGACAAAAGCACTCGTCGCAGCACTGACATTCTCGATGTCAGTGCCTCGCAGTTTCACTTCCTGAACATTGGGAAACAAAAGCATCAGATAGAGGATCGAGAAAAGTGGCAAATGCTTACTTACCTCGAGCATCTGGCGGACAGCAGCAGTGAGTTCAATCGACTTGCACTCTATCCTTGGGACGGTATCAAGCCATGGGACAAGCAGCTCGATTATCTCCTCCGACGGTGGAGACTGGTAGTTCTCTGCGAAAAACACCAGTGCAGCGTGAGTGGCAGCGTCCGCAAGAGCCCGCGTCTCGAAAGCAGCCAGCCATTCCATCGCCTGCTCGTAGCTCTCCCCGTCAAGCTGAAGTACCAGCCAGGTATGTATAACATCGCAGGCTGCCTCACTCATGTCAAACAGCCGAGCAGCATCCTCGACGATTGTTTGTGGCATGCAAGTCGAAGGGACTTTCGCCACTGCGTCCGCCATGGCTGGAAGGTTTCTCGTGTTAGAAGTAACAATGAGAAGCAAAAAGAAACGAGAGAGAAGGCCATGTACATACATGCCAGTGCTTCTTCGGTCGCATCTATGTTGAAGGTGATACCATCCTTCTGCAACAAGGAACCTTAGCTTCTGGATCGTAAACATAAGAAACCACTTGGTGTTTGAGCCGATGCCAATCGCTCCCATCTCTCCTGTTCGTGGAGCTGCTCGTGATGAAAGAGGATGAAAGAGGTGCGATCTCTTCTTGTCTAGTGGTATGCCTAGGCCTCATTTCTTGCATTGTAGAACGCTCGCTCAAGGAACGTCCATCCCTTTGCTCCATCCCGACGCTGGTAAGTCTCTCCCCTTTTATATCCCTTGTATATATACTCAAGTATATCCCAAGGCCGGAGGTACCATGGCGAATCCTTTTAGCAAGTGGAGGGAGACAGAGATCGGTGAACAAGTGGAACACGTTGTGAGAGCTTTGTTCTCTCGGTTTGGTCTGGACAACACCGAGTCTCTCAGCTTCTACCACTCGACAGCCCAGCGCCAAGTTCAAGTTTGCGACCTCAAGTGGAGGATTTGGCACCATGCCCTTCGTCACGTCCTTCAGACGACCGTCCCGGATGTTTACTTGCTCGCAATCTTCGCTGCTGACTTCTATGTACAGCAGCTGCCTCCCTTTTCCTTTATGTTCCAGGACGTGGCCAAGATTTTCGATGACGAGGTACTAAGTGGTTTCTTATGTTTACGATCCAGAAGCTAAGGCTCCTCGTTGCAGAAGGATGGTATCATCTTCAACATAGATGCGACCGAAGAAGCACTGGCATGTATGTACATGGCCTTCTCTCTCGTTTCCTTTTGCTTCTCATTGTTACTTCTAACACGAGAAACCTTCCAGCCATGGCGGACGCAGTGGCGAAAGTCCCTTCGACTTGCATGCCACAAACAATCGTCAAGGATGCTGCTCGGCTGTTTGACATGAGTGAGGCAGCCTGCGATGTTATACATACCTGGCTGGTACTTCAGCTTGACGGGGAGAGCTACGAGCAGGCGATGGAATGGCTGGCTGCTTTCGAGACGCGGGCTCTTGCGGACGCTGCCACTCACGCTGCACTGGTGTTTTTCGCAGAGAACTACCAGTCTCCACCGTCGGAGGAGATAATCGAGCTGCTTGTCCCATGGCTTGATACCGTCCCAAGGATAGAGTGCAAGTCGATTGAACTCACTGCTGCTGTCCGCCAGATGCTCGAGGTAAGTAAGCATTTGCCACTTTTCTCGATCCTCTATCTGATGCTTTTGTTTCCCAATGTTCAGGAAGTGAAACTGCGAGGCACTGACATCGAGAATGTCAGTGCTGCGACGAGTGCTTTTGTCGAAGACTGGCTCACAAATCGTTCGCGACTTTACCGAAAGCAACGATGGGACTTCCACCCGTACAGTGACGAGAGCGAGACAATGGGCCGCTTGCTCTACACCTGGACGTTGACGACGAGAGGCAAGAGTGATCACGCGGAGCTCCAGAAGCTGTGCGGGGTCACCACCAAGTCGTTCGTGGAGCACGTCAAGTGGAGCCTCCAGGGAGCTGCCGACGACGAGGAGGGGGACAGGTGCGAGGAGCTTTACGATGCGGCAGCCAGCGTTTTCGGAGCAGCATTCCGCGGTGTCTTTGTGAGCCTGTGCGAGAACTGTCGCTGGAAGGAATCGGGAATGCTCGAGTGCTCGCTGGAAGAGCTCCAGGGGATACGAGCTAGAGCGTGGAATGGGCGGTATCAAGTTCACAAACCTCGGCTGGAAACACGGATGAGTCAGATCAACGACATGATCATCTACCTGGTTGACGTGAGTATAGTGCTCTCTTTTGTGGAAAGCTTACGCGGTTTTCTCAGATGATCTACGAGGATCACTACAAGAACGACTATTTGCTTCCTCGCGAGTACTGGAGGCAAGACTGTAAGTTAATTAGATTGCGAGTGAGCTATCTTCAATCCTCGTGCTGATCGTGGTAACTTACTTCCAGGCCAAGATGTACTGTTTTGCAAGAACTTGGGCGTGAAACTGGAGAAAGCAGAGAAGGGTGTGTATCTCCTGGAAGATTTCATATTCAAATCTATGAATGTAGCGCCTTGTTAGATAAAATATGAAATGTTAGATAAAATATGGAATATTCTTGGTTTCCTTGATTTAGGGGTTGCTAGGGCTAGGGCAGAGAAGCAGCGATGGAGAAAGCGAGAGACGGCGAGGCGGTGCTCCAGAAGAAGCTCGAGTACTTGTCGCTCGTGTCCAAGGTATGCGCCGAGCTGGAGACGCACGTAGGGTGCAGCGACAAGACGCTGGCCGAGTTTATCATCGAGCTGGGCCGGGGCAGCGAGAGCGTGGAGGAATTCGGCGGTAAGCTCAAGGAGAATGGGGCGGAGATGCCGGATTACTTCGTCAAGACGCTGCTGACGATCATTCACGCCATTCTGCCGCCCGTGAGGAAGGAGAAGGAGAAGGACAAGGAGAGGGACAAGGAGAGGAAGGAGAAGGAGAGAGACCGGGAGAAGGAGAAAGATAGAGAGAAGGAGAAGGAGCGAGAGAAAGAGAACAGGGAGAGGGAAAGGGATAGAGAGCGGGACCGAGATAGGGAGAAAGATAGAGATAGAGAAAGGCACAGGGACAGGGATAGCAGGGATAGCAGGACCAGTAGGAGAAGGAGAGACGAGGAAAATGGAAGAGACCAGCGTCGGGAGCCCGAGTCCCGGCCGGAGGAGCCAGAGCTCTACAAGATCTACAAGGGCAGGGTGGCGAGGATAATGGACTTTGGCTGCTTTGTCCAGCTGAATGGGTTCTGGGGGCGCAAGGAGGGACTAGTTCATATCTCTCAGATGGCTTCTCGAAAGGTTGGGCATGCCAAGGATGCTGTGGAGAGGGACCAGGAGGTTTGGGTGAAGGTGGTGTCTTTGACGGGGCAGAAGATGAGTCTTTCTATGAGAGACGTGGACCAGAAAACCGGGGACGATTTGGTTCCTATTCACAAGCCATCAGGAAATGAAGAGGATGCGTTTAGAACCAATCCATCCATTGCCAACAAGCCGTCGACGACAAGGAAGGGTCTTTCTGGGATTCCGTTGATCGACGACGACCCAGACGTATCGCACTCCAGAAGGCCTTCGAAGAAGATGAGCTCTCCAGAGAGGTGGGAGATAAAGCAGCTGGCTGCTTCAGGGGTGGTCGGCATCCGAGAGAATCCCCTGTATGACGATGACGGTGGTGGTATGCTGTATCACGACGAGGGTGCTGAAGAAGAGCTTGAAATCGAGCTTAACGAGGACGAGCCTGCGTTTTTGAGGGGACAAACAAGATACTCGGTGGATCTCTCGCCTGTGAAGATCGTCAAGAACCCCGACGGTTCGTTGCAGAGAGCAGCAACAACTCAGTCGGCTCTGGCTAAGGAGAGAAGGGAGCTTCGCGAACAGCAGCAGCGGACAATGCTGGATTCTATTCCCAAGGACTTGAATCGTCCATGGGAGGATCCCATGCCAGAGACAGGAGAGCGGCACCTAGCGCAGGAGCTCCGGGGTGTAGGACTGTCTGCATACGACATGCCCGAGTGGAAGAAGGATGCGTTTGGGAAGGCTCCAACTTTTGGACAACGGTCGAAGCTTTCGATTCAAGAGCAGAGGCAGAGCTTGCCGATTTATAAGCTGAAGATGGAGCTTGTGAAGGCTGTGAACGAGAACCAGGTCCTGGTCGTGATTGGTGAGACCGGCTCGGGAAAGACGACTCAGATGACACAGTACCTGGCTGAGGCGGGATACACTTCGAGGGGGAAAATCGGCTGCACGCAGCCTCGTAGAGTGGCTGCCATGTCGGTGGCGAAGAGGGTGGCGGAAGAGTTCGGTTGCCGTTTGGGTGAGGAGGTTGGATATGCTATCCGTTTCGAGGACTGCACAGGGCCCGAGACCGTCATAAAGTACATGACAGATGGTATGCTTCTCCGAGAGATACTTGTGGACGAAAACCTCTCGGCATACTCGGTGATCATGCTGGATGAAGCTCACGAGAGAACCATCCATACGGACGTTCTTTTCGGGTTGCTCAAGAGCCTGGTCAAGCGGCGGCCTGATTTGCGGCTGATCGTTACGTCGGCAACTCTGGACGCGGAGAAGTTCTCGGGTTACTTTTACGACTGTAACATCTTCACCATACCGGGACGGTCATATCCAGTCGAGATTCTCTACACCAAACAGCCAGAGACCGACTACCTAGACGCGGCATTGATCACGGTGATGCAAATTCATCTTACGGAGCCGGAGGGGGACGTCTTGCTCTTTTTGACGGGTCAAGAGGAGATCGACACCGCTTGCCAGATTTTGTATGAACGGATGAAGGGTCTGGGACCGAACGTGCCAGAGTTGATCATCTTGCCGGTCTACAGCGCTCTTCCCAGCGAGATGCAAACTCGAATCTTCGATCCAGCTCCTGCAGGGACAAGGAAAGTCGTCGTTGCTACTAATATTGCGGAGGCGTCCCTGACAATTGATGGCATTTACTATGTCGTTGATCCGGGATTCGCAAAGCAGAAGGTGTACAACCCGAAGCTGGGACTCGACTCACTCGTGATCACTCCTATATCTCAAGCGTCAGCGAAGCAGCGAGCTGGTCGTGCCGGAAGAACAGGTCCCGGGAAGTGTTATCGACTTTACACTGAGAGCTCGTTCTGGAACGAGATGCTTCCGACGACTGTGCCGGAGATACAGAGAATCAATCTCGGGATGACGGTTCTGATGATGAAGGCCATGGGGATCAACGATTTACTCTCGTTCGACTTCATGGATCCTCCACAGTCCCAGGCGCTTATTTCTGCTATGGAGCAACTCTACAGCTTGCAAGCGTTGGATGAAGAAGGTTTGCTGACCAAGCTGGGGCGAAAGATGGCGGAGTTTCCTTTGGAGCCACCTCTGTCGAAGATGCTTCTGGCGAGCGTGGACCTTGGTTGCAGCGACGAGATCCTCACAATCATCTCGATGCTCCAGGCGCAAAACATTTTCTATCGTCCTCGTGAGAAGCAGGCCCAGGCAGATCAGAAGAGAGCCAAGTTCTTCCAGCCGGAGGGTGATCACCTGACGTTGCTTGCTGTTTACGAGGCGTGGAGAGCTAAAAATTTCTCCGGACCATGGTGCTTCGAGAATTTTGTACAGTCTCGATCACTGAGGAGAGCACAAGACGTGAGGAAGCAGCTGCTCACGATCATGGACAAGTAAGACAAGTTTTCTTTTTTCCTTTTCGTTTTTCTCATCTGTTCTTGTTTGTGTGCAGATATAAGCTGGATGTGGTTAGTGCTGGGAAGAACTTCACAAGGATCAGGAAAGCAATATGTGCTGGATTCTTCTTCCATGCCGGGCGCAAGGATCCTCAGGAAGGATACAGGACGATAGTGGAGAACCAGCCCGTCTACATTCATCCAAGCAGTGCACTGTTCCAGCGTCAGCCCGACTGGGTGATCTACCACGAGCTAGTTATGACGACGAAGGAGTACATGCGAGAAGTTACACTCATCGATCCAAAGTGGCTGGTCGAGCTCGCTCCCAGGTTCTTCAAGGAAGCCGATCCAACGAAGCTGAGCAAGAGAAAGCGGCAGGAACGTATAGAGCCGCTGTACGATCGGTACCACGAGCCGAACTCGTGGCGTCTGAGCAAACGACGAGGATAAGTGGCTGGCTAAATTTCACCATGGCACGATTGTCAAAAAGCCTCTACAGGTTTTTTCCATGGTTTTCAATTCTCTTTCACTCTCGTTTTCGAAACTCTTCGTTTTCTACTCGTTACAGAAAGCAGTCTTTCCTCCGGGCATTGTTCCTAAAGAACCTGGCCGGATCAAAGTACTTCAAGTCCAAAGTCTTGCATTCGCCATCGACGATGAGCTCCGACAAGAAGGCCCCGGTGGCCGGTCCGTTAAGAATCCCCCAGTAGCCGTGTCCGGTGGCAACGTACGCTCCCTCGACGTTTGGAAGCTTTCCAATGAGCGGCCGTCCATCTTCCGATAGCGGCATGAAGCAGGCCTGGGCGGTCTCGAGCTCGGCCCCTTGGAGGTGGGAGGAGACGGTCTCGGACACTCTCCTCAACATGGCGACGGCCTCGTTCCTGGGCTTGACTTGATCGGCAGTAGCGGGCAGCTCGGCCTCCTCGGACATGCCCGAGACGTAAACTTCGCCGGTGGGACGCGGGTAGACCTCCGGAGCGAGCTGCTTGCCTTCCCGGGTCTTGTACCTCAGCAGCAGCGCGTGCGGGGTGAGATCTTGCGAGCTCTTGGGCCGGACGACGATGCTGTGAGCCTTCCTCCCCGAGATCCTGGTGAGGTCCGAGATGGAGCTGAGATTGCTGGACCAGGGGCCGAGCGCCACCACCGCCACCTCGGCCGGGATGAGCTCCTTGTTCACGACAACTCCCAGCAGCTTCATCCGATGTGGATCCAGGCGGAGCTCCTCCACCTCGCCGCGGATGACCCGGACGCCAAACTCGGCCTCGGCGGCGGAGAGCACCGCTTGCGTGAAGAGAGCCGGATGGACCTGCGCGGTGGTGGTCTGGTTTCCAATCGGGGTGGCACCTTTGACAGGGCCGTCGGTCCAGGATGGAAGAACCGAGGGGGTGGAAGCGTTCACCACCTCGCTGCCACCAGCGTGATGGCTGTCAGTGCCGGACCTTGGCTCCTCCACGACGAGGCTGAGCGTGTCGAGGGGGCGGTAGCCGTAGCGGTGCGCGCCGTCGAGCTCGGCGGCGAGGCGCTGGTGCATGAGGAAGCTGGCGCGCGCGAGCTTGCCGAGGGGGCTGCCATCGCACCAGTCGAGCGCGAGGAAGCCGCCGGCCTTGCCCGAGGCGGCGCAGGCGACGCTGCAGCGCTCCACGACCGTGACGCGGACGCCCTTCTTGGCGAGGAAGTAGGCTGTGCAGGCGCCGATCACACCCGCGCCGCACACGATGGCGTGGCCGGGGCTGGGAGACGGGTCGCTGCTGCTGCTGCTGCTACTGGCGCTGGGATCGATTGGAGTGGGCGGAGTCGGATCCATTGGATTGTTGGAGGTGCCCGCGTCGCCGCCGCGCACCCTGCGCTGGCGCGGCGCGGCGGAGAGGAAAAGAAAAGACAACGGTTGGGTGTCTTGGCCCTAGGAACAGGAAGGTGAAATCTGTGCCACGTCATGTCATAGAAAACAACGATATTTTATTTGTGAATAATAAAAGATGTTTTATGATTATTTCTTGTTGTTTCCTTTATTTTTAAAGTGTATCTCTTTTTTTTTGTGAGTTCTTTTAGTCTTTTTGAATCTTTATTATTGTAATCTTTATTGAAGTCTTTGAAATGTTTTGTACTATATTTGTTATATGTTTTTTAATTAAGTTTTGTGAGTGCATGGAATATGGAAAGGGAATACAGAAATGTGCATATCAATTAACCCAAAAACCCTAGCTTATATACAGGAGCGAGTGGTCCGGATTGAAACCAATCCGACGGCTACCAAAATCCACTACGCTAATATTAGTATACAGCATTGTAGCCGTACACTTGGCCCTCACATCATCCCCTCCTCTTGGAATAATGGAAGGCTGTTAGGGTTCTCTTGTAGATGGGCCGGGATCTGGAGGAACGTCAGGAGGAGGCATCGGTGGATCTGTAGACGGTATTAACTGCTCCTGATCCCTTTGTATGAAGCGTTTTAACCGCTGCACATGCACAATCTCCGGAGGATCAGCCTGCTGAACGTCATGCCGAACCTCATAAACTTGTGGTCCAACTTGCCGCAACACCCGATACGGTCCTTTCCACTGCGCAAGGAGCCCCTTAGATAAACCACGCACCGTAAGATGGGGAAAACGGACTAACACCAAATCATCCACTTTGTACTCCGCTGGTGGACGATGATGGGAATTGTAGTGCCGTTGTTGTCCCACTTGTACGCGGCCTAAGTGTTCAGCAGACTCTGCTCGGACAAGTGGAAGAATGCTTGTCAAATATTGATCCCATGACCTAGCATCAGGAGCTCGTGGCAATCGCGAAGGTAAACCTAGCTCTGTTGGTAATATTGGATCATGACCATATAGAAGTTTATATGGTGAAGCACCAACAGAACTCTACACCCCTGTGACATAAGCATACCAAAGAGACGGCAAATAACCATCCCAATCCAAATGTTGAAAGTTCACATACTTCGCAATCATCCCTTTGAATGTCCGAACGAGCCGTTCCACCAGACCGTTTGATTGTGGATGATAAGCACTCGTAAAAGTGTGGCGTATCCCCAACCGAGATGTCAAAACATGAAATACCTCAGCCATAAATGCAGGACCATTATCCGAAAGAATCCGTTCTGGACAAGAATGCTGGAACACCACTCGATTGAGGAGGAAGTATCCAACAGCAGTTGCAGAGGCACTAGCAAGAGCACCAACTTCCACCCAACGAGTCAAGTAGTCAGAAGCAATAATAACATACTCATTGCCAGCAGTCGATCGTGGAAAAGGTCCCATAAGATCAAACGCCACCAACTCAAACGGACGAGAAACTGCAATTGACTCCAACCGTCCTTCCGCAGCACAAGGGGGAGTATTACGAGCTTGGCACCAAATGCAGCTACACACATACCGGATAATATCACGTCGCATCTCTGGCCAATAGAAAGATCTGCGCAACTTCTCGGTGACACGACGGTCTCCCATATGCCCACATAGAATAGGAGAATCATGGTAGGCATGGAGAAACCGCGGAATAAACACCGAAGGCACCACCAGCCGTAAATGAGCATCAGGATCCGTCCCCACAAAATAAAGAAGGCCATCTTCAAGGCGATATTAAGAATGTAAATGCCGAAAAGGCAAGTCATCAGCAAGTGATGCAGGATTCTCAAACCCATCTCGAAGCCTTCGAATCCACGGCTCAATCTTTTGAGCCTCGCGAACCTCATCCAGAGAAGGTAGATCTTGCTCTACGCCCTGTGGACACTGAACGTCAAGGACAGCAACCGCCGATGGCACAGAATCCTCATCTAGAAAATCCACAGATGCTGGAACAACAGGTTCATCAGAAACATGAGAAGTGAGTGGAGAAGGAAGAGGAGCTCGAGAAAGGGCATCAGCATCAGCCATAGAACTCCCTGGGCGATGAACAACATCAAAATCATATATCTGAAGCTTCAAAGTGTGAGACACAAAATCCCTAGGCCCCAAAGTGGAGCTGGAAGGGCGCCACATGGTAGTGGCCGAAGCGAGAGCCAAACGAGCGTAACACGTTTGGACCAAAAGCTCCGACTTGAAAAGTCAAGAGCGGGAGTGGAACTCCCAACGAAGTGCTCGAGGAACGAGCACGAAGCGAGCAAAAGGCGAGGCTCCAAAAAGGGACCCAAAAGGACCAACACATGACACGTGGGAGTGTCCGAGATGGACTCGACTTGGAGTCCGAAGTGGAGTCCGAGATGGACTCGAGTTGGAGTCCGAAGTGGAGTCCGAGATGGACCCGAGTTGGAGTTCGAAGTGGAGTCCAAGATGGACCCGAGATGGAGTCCGAGATGGAGTCCGAAGTGGAGTCTGAGGTGGACCCGAGATGGACCCGAGTTGGAGTCCGAAGTGGAGTCCGAGATGGAGTCCGAGATGGAGTCCGAGATGGAGTCCGAGTTGGAGTCCGAGGTGGACCCAAGATGGACCCGAGTTGGAGTCCGAAGTGGAGTCCGAGATGGACCCGAGATGGAGTCCGAGATGGAGTCCGAGTTGGAGTCCGAGGTGGACCCGAGATGGACCCGAGTTGGAGTCCGAAGTGGAGTCCGAGATGGACCCGAGATGGAGTCCGAGATGGAGTCCGAGATGGAGTCCGAGGTGGACCCGAGATGGACCCGAAATGGAGTCCGAGATGGAGTCCGAGATGGACCCGAGATGGAGTCCGAGATGGAGTCTGAGATGGACCCGAGATGGACCCGAGATGGACCCGAGATGGAGTCCAAGATGGAGTCCGAGATGGAGTCCGAGATGGAGTCCGAAGTCGAGACCGAGACCGGGACCGAGACCGGGACCGAGACCGAGACCGAGACCGAGATCGGGACCGAGACCGAGACCGAGCCCGAGCCCGAGTCCGAGTCTGAATCCGAGTCCGAGTCCGAGTCCGAGTCCGAGTCCGAGTCCGAGTCCGGAGCTTGAGAGGGTGAAAGCCCAAAGCGTTCGTCTCCCAGACCCTGGGGGGTTTGGTGAGCCCCAAAAGTATAGTAAGGGGGAGGACTGCAGTGGAGCCAGTTTGGCCAGGAAAGGCCAGTTTGGCCAGGAAAGGCCAGTTTGGCCCAGGAAGGCCAGACCCAGTGTTGGGTGATGAGCTGCCCACTGGGAAGTCCAAGACTAGAGTGAACACAGACCGACAAGCGGGGTAGCTTGGTGAAGTGTTCAAGAGCCGGCTCTAGTTCCCCCGGGAGATCGACTGGCCGATGCTCCCAGTCCAAGTGTGGGTGGCACTACCTACTTGGATACCTGGTGTGGCTCAACGGAACCCGCTCTAAGCCCATGGCTAGAGCACCCAAGGGCAGAAGGCGAGGAGAGTACCCAGGTGGCTCGCGTAAGGCCACGGTGTTCCGAAATGTTGCCCCAAAGGCCCAGACTGTGGAAAGGAAGAGGAGCAGTCTTCTGGGGTAGTGACCAAGGACACAGTCGTGTGGTGAGGAAGTCCCAGAGGACCGTGGGACTTAGTGGTCAGGCCTGTGGGTCTTGATCCAGTGGCAGTATTGGCAAACACGGCCAGGGGCAGAAAGGGACTTAGTGGAGACTGACAGAGGGATATTGGGGAAGGCTATTCCCCTTGTCGGTGGGCATCCTAAG